CCCGCTCACGTGTGGGGATTGCGGATGGGCCTGATTCGGGAGACCTGGTATTGGGAGGTAGAGGACCAGAGATGGGTTTGGGGGCGCTAATCTGAGGGCGCTGCCGACGAGACTTGCTTCTCAGAGTTAATCCTCGGCCTTCCATAATGATATCACTTGGCAACGCAGCAATAATCAAGGAATGGAAATGGTCGCGGGAGGTCAAGGGGATGACGCTCGGGCTGCCATGCTTATATAATCCATAGGCTCCGGACATCTGGACATCCTTTTGAAACATTTTTATCACCCCCAACCACCACTCAACCACTATTGCCTCTCCAAGTTCCCATACACTGTTAGGTTGGGATACATTCGATATATTCAATCCCATCATATCTCGTACTCTCACCATGGCTTTCCGAAACACTGCCATCGTCGCCGGCACAATTCTGACGGGAGTTCTCGGTATGTAACATTCGTCTCGCCGCGTTCTTCAATTTCTGACCCTTCGTACCAGCCTACGCCGTTTATTTCGATCACAAGCGTCAAAGCGACCCTAACTTCCGCAAGTCGTTGAAGAAGAACAACAAGAAGGTCGAACAAACCGCGAAACAGGAGGCCGAGGCCGGCGCCGCAGCTAGGATCGCAGAACTCAAGAATGCGCTCGAACAAGTGAAGAGGAACGGTGAATTGCCAACAGAACTTGAAGAGAAAGAAAGCTTCTTTATGAGCCAAGTCGCATTGGGCGAATCTCTTTGCGCTTCGGAAGGTAAGTTGAATCCACCGTCTCATCCTATTTAGATCTTGAAGGGCGAAATCGGAATATGATTACACCTTGCAATCCAAAAAGAAAGAAAAAAAACAGCAGGCCGCTAATTCCATCTGTAGGCTCCCAAGTCGAAGCAGCAATTGCCTTTTGGAAAGCATTGAAGGTCTACCCCCAGCCTCAGGTAAGTACAACCCCATTCCCGATGTTACATATTGCATGGTTTTGCCATCGTCTGCAACATACTAACTGCTATAACCATGTAGGATCTGATCGGAATTTACGACAAGACCGTTCCGAAGGAGACTCTCGAAATTCTCGCCGAACTTATCGCACTTGATGGAGGTCAATCTGCCGGCCGCAAGACTGGCACCGACGATAACATCGAATAGAAAAACCGGACCCAATCTCTCAACAACTTGTATTTTAGATGGAATTCTCAAATTTGTATCACATAATTTATATCCCGGGGAACTTGTACGTGGGGTGGAAAACAAAAGGGGTGCAGATGAAGGCTATCATATAAGTTGGATTGATGGCGATTTATTGCCAAATACTCCAACTATGTTGTAGATGCAACAGAGGAGATACCATCAATCTAAAGCAACCTCTTCTCTTTTGGCTAATGAGGTAAATAACCTTTTCATCTTCATGAAAGACGTCTATGAGCTGGCCTATCGTTTGAAGAGACTATCTACTAATCATTGGAAACCCTCTTTCATTGAAGGCTCTACAATATTGTAGGTAAAAGAAGTCCATACTCTGTAAAGCTACTGCCACAATCTTTTGCCGATATATGCCTTTGACTCCTGAGGTATTTTAAGTTGCGATAAGGTCAATATCTTTAGGGCAGATTTATTCCAGTCCATTCGAATTAGCCATGAGAGAATTGAAATGTACATATATGTGCCTAGAACGATAGTATGTACATAGATAAGGTGTATATTGTACACAGTGAGATGAATAGCAAGCTCCGAATTAGGCTATTAGACACCTGAAAAACAAGGCCACCATACCCGAAGCCCTAACCACACCTACAACTATTCTAGGCATGATCTCACTAGATTTTTAATAACAGAGGCTTCCTTGGAGGGTTGGGAACTTTTGTTTTTAGGGAGTACCCCCTGAATATATTTCAACACAGCCTAGATAGCCCAGATAGCCCAGACATTGGCGTCCAAGCAATCGTTATTGAAAAATCCCTTGGCCTTGGGATTCTTGGCTGGACTTGGCGAGTTCTGAGGAAGGAGAAGAGCGAAGAGACTTTGATTTGATATGTGATTCATGTACTCTGGAAATAGACATTTGATATAGTCCGTACGTACAAAATAAGACATGAAGTACCAATATACTAAATAGTGAAACGAACCTCGGAAAATGTGAAACCTCCAAGACACTAGGACCCTCCATGACATTTGTTCAGAGACTGCAGTTCTCCACTAAATTGAGACTATTCAAATTATCTCCAATCATTTAGATTGGAATTGTCTCGCATTCTCATTTCACTTTAAAGCCCTTTGATTCCGGCTTTTTCTTTCTTTTTCTTTGAGTCGTTTTCCATTTCGCGCCGTTGCGCTGTCACTCGTTAAAATAGAACCTATCTTGTATCTTCTATATCCCCCTATTGCTTTTTGTTTTTAGATACCCTTTCACAATGATTGTATGTGTCATATATCTGGCGAATAACCTTGGAAGTGCTAACCTTCTTAGTCCTACACTCGTATCTTCGCATCTCTGTGTGCGCTCGCCAGCACCGCGGCCGCTTTGACCCCACTTGAAGTCAGCGGCAAGGACTTTATCGACTCGAAGACCAACGATCGTTTCCAGATCATCGGTGTTGAGTAAGGCTTCCTTGGGTTTCTCGCCTGTTTCGTGTCTGATCTTTGCCTACATTCTACGGTGACTGACTCCTCAATAGCTACCAGCCCGGTGGTTCGTCCCGCTTCACCAAGAAACTAGATCCCTTGAGCGATGCAGATGCCTGCCTGCGCGATGCTGCCCTCATGCAGCGCCTGGGTGTAGGTTCAGACTCTATGTTCCTTGACGTACAGCAACTTATTTCCATAGATCAACACTATCCGTGTCTACAACCTGGAACCCTCTCTCAATCATGACAAGTGCGCCTCGATCTTCAATGCTGCCGGTATCTACATGATTCTCGACGTCAGCAACCCTCTGGCGGGTGGCTATCTCGACCGCAGTGCCCCCTGGACTACCTACAGCGCCATCTACTACAAGCAGGTGTTCGGTGTGATCGAGGGCTTCAAAAACTACGACAACGTCCTGGGCTTCTTCGCTGGAAACGAGGTGATCAATGAGGATGCCCATTACTTGACTCCCAAGTACATGCGCGCTGTCGTTCGTGATATGAAGGACTACATCGCCAAGAATTCTAAGCGCGCTATTCCGGTTGGATACTCTGCTGCTGATATCCGTGATATCTTGATGGACACTGTTCACTACTTTGAGTGTGATCTCAAGAACTCGACCTCTTCTCGTGCCGACTTCTTCGGCCTCAACTCTTACTCCTGGTGTGGCCGCGCCACCTACAAGTCCAGCGGCTTCGATGACCTCACGGAGGACTTCACCGACGCCACCATCCCTGTTTTCTTCTCCGAGTACGGTTGTAACGATGTCAAGCCTCGTGTCTTCACCGAAGTGCAGGCCATCTACGGTGTGGAGATGACACAGGCTTTCTCCGGTGGTCTCGTTTACGAGTGGACCCAGGAAGATAACGAGTACGGCCTGGTCAAGATCAAGGACTCCAAGACCGTGACCACTCTTGTTGACTATGATAACTTCCAGCAGCAGCTCAGCAAGCTTGATATTGATCGCATCATGTCAAGCAACGCCACGCAGGCCAATGTCAAGGCTGAGGAGTGCAGTGTCTCACTCATCGGTGGGAAAAACATCGGCAAACAGCCCTTCTACAACGCCTGGGATTTGCCCGAGGTTCCTCCCAAGGTCGCGGACTACATTAAGAACGGTCTGCCCGATGCCCCCACTGGCAAGTTCGTCTCTGTTTCTTCCACCACCATCCCCCAGAAGGTGTATGATCACACTGGCAAGGAGATCACCGATGTCAAGTTTGAGGTGAAGAGCGGTGTCAACACCCCATCTTCTTCCATTTCGAGCACCTCCACTTCAAGTACTTCCACTTCGAGTACCTCCGATTCTTCCAGCTCCAGTACTTCGGCCCCTACCAACGCCGCCTCTCTCAATGGCGCTCCCTCACTTGCTCTTGGTGGTGTAGGAGGCTTCTTCATGCTGCTTGCATCCCTCCTGTAATTGCCTCGATTGCGTTTGATTAATTCATTCTCGAGTCTCAGAGTTCGCTCTGGGACGACCAAGAGGCTCATATCTGATCTCGATAATGTATTATTTGTATCAGCTACTCGTGTCTTCGTCTTTCTTCTGATCCATTGATCAATCTGCACATAACTTCCATGGAACAATTTACATAGTTTTTCCCCGTATGGTTCAGATTCCACCGAACCATCGCATGTACATTGGGAATGAGTTAGTAGATGAAATGCATTGTGGTAAGAAAGGATTCTACTTTCTGCTACTTTATTTGTCACTGGCATTCTTATTTCTTTCCACTGCACTATATTGTCAATAGCCTTCCCTTGATCCACGCCTTCGGCCCCAGTCCTTGAGAGCCGCTCCAGGATCTTGCTGGAGACACTCTTAGGAATCTCACTGATAGAGATAATCCCACCCCGAAGCTACTTCTGCACAGCAAGGTCAACTATATTGACATCACCTTTTGTCTCAATTCGTCTGTCCAGGTGGCTAGCATTAGTTCAAAGTTGGAAATCGCTCAAACACATGGACAAGCGGATGTTTTGCGCAGCACGAATCAGATCTGCTAGCTGTAGTGCATCAAGTGAGGTTACTGTTCTCAATGATGCTAGTTGTTCGCGTGTCAGTGCGTGATCTCTGGCAAAACAATAGGCGGCACAGCTTAGACATAGCTGACTTCGGTTTCTAAAGCCCTGAAGGTGATCAAATTGACACATCCTCTCCCTCCAGGCTGAAAAAGCCGAGCAGATTGAGCAGTGTGAAAAGATGAGCTACCCTCTTCATTCTCCTATTTTTCCCCCGGCTCCCTTTGGTCAATATTGTTGCTTACTCTCATGGTACTTGATTAAAGAAGGGTTCAATTCGAATGCAAACACTTGAGAATATTAAGCCCAGATTCTCTGGAAAATGACATGCAAACTGAAAATGCAAAACGAAAAACTCATTGACCCTAGATGGCCCTCGCTTTCCCCTTGCCCTTGCCTGACGGCGAGGCAGGTATTGGCCCCGCGAGAGATGGGAATTCCTCCCAAGCCTCTTCACCATCCTCGCGACTCTTGCCCTCAGCCAAACTGAGTTGAATCGCAAACTCCAGATCATCCATCTCCTGCTGTCTACTGCTCTCAGCCTCCTCTGCCGCAGGCGATGGCGGCTGTGGGGGGTAGACTCCCTTGGCCCACTTGATAGGGATAGACGAAGCTTGGTCAAATGGAAGAGCAGCACATTGCTCGTCAAGCAGGCTAAGGCGAATTGCCTCGGCAAGTTCATCGTCATCATTATCGTCTGCGGAATTTTGGTAGGGAGATGAAGAGGACGATACTTCGCCGGGACCGAGTGAACAAGGACCAACAGTGTCGAATGAAGCGCTTGTAGCCGAGCTGGAGATAGCGATGGTGTTCTTAGGTTTTGCCGCATCGCTAGAGCAGGCCTCTTCGCTTAGGAGTTGGGCATACGCCAAAAGCTGTTCCTCATCGATATCTGGACCAAGAAGATCAATTCCGAAACGTGCACTCAAATGTGCTCGTTCTTTTTCATCGGCAATTCTCTGACGCTCCATATCCAGGCGTTCGTCTTCAATGAAGTCCTCGATTGCACCTCGACCACTGTTGTTGAAGCGTTGGCCTTCAACAGCTCCGTTGCTGCCACGCATTAAGTGACGAAGGCGGCGCTTGCTGGTTTTGTACTGATCAGCCTCGGAAGAACTGTAAGACCAGTATCGCAAGTGGGTTCCAAGTGATACCATTCCTCGCAGGACGGTTGAGTCTGAATCAAGGCAGATGGCGCCTGTGGCATAGTAATTGTTTCCAACACCTAGAATAGAGGCCTCAGCCTGCACAAGCCGACGACGGGCTCGGGTCGAGAAACGCGAGTTGATCGTCCGGATCGGCTTGGTAGATGACGCTAGCGGATCCCAGGCTTGCACAAGACCATCATTACCGCCATGAACAAGGTACAACGACGTGATGGCCAAGGAAGATACTTGGGGAGAATCTGTTTGAATGGTGCGCAGTGGGGAGATGGAATTGATGATCTCTGTAGACTTGGCCCCTGGGGCTCGGATATCCCAGACAAATACCATCCCCGTGCGAGTTCCAACACTTAAGTATCGAGCACGTTGCCCAGGAACTTCCAGGCCTGACCGCGGGTGAGTCAGATGTGGTAACATTGGGGAAGATGTTGCAGACGAAGTAGAGCCCCCAGGCATAGCCAAAAGAGGATCCTCCTCGGCCGTGAGAGTCGCGAAAGTGGAAGCATCCAACGCACTAGTGGTCACCTCTGCAGATTTTCGATCACCAAAAACAAAATCCGATAGACGCCATCTGAATTGGGTCGAGGGTAGGACCACCTGTCCGGAGGATCGAGAAGGAGGAAGAATGCTGGTAACGGTCGGACTTGGAACATTCACCGGGCCGCCGAAGAGTGATGGTGGAGTTTCGGTATCAAATATGGGCTCTGGCGTGGCTGGCGTGGCGGAGCTAAAATCTAACCGAGAAGCAGTGCGCATGAACCGCCGGATCGATGGCTTTGCGTCCTCGCCCGAGCCCCGAGTGATGATCATGACCGACTCGCCTGCCCCGAATCCGTCATCGCCAGCAAAGTCCACCTTCAGATCGCGCTTCATGTCCCAGCTTTCACATACTTTGCGGAAGTATTTGGGCTTGAAGGATATGAATTTTTCAACCTCCTTCGTTTCTGCAGCAATCTGGTGCTCATTGAGTTCCATGGAATCTGACGACGATCGCGGACTGTAGCTGCCATCAACCAGTTCACGATTGAATGGGTCTGGGCGTGCCACCCGTCTACTCTTTTCGACCATTTCCCAATGCACACTCCTACCGGTTTTCCAAGCCACCTCGTCAAGTTGCTCGGTGTTTAGTTTGGCCGTGAGAGGGATATCAGGTGCCCGAGGAAGATCAGTGAGGTAGAAGATTTCTCCTAGCGCGTTGAGAGCAACAGCCCAAATTCGCTTTCCTGAATGACGCTTGGGTGAATATTGATCGTCCACGGCAATTCCAATAATAGGAACACCAGGACACAGGACCCACCTAGCAGTCACTTGTCCTTGCTCGTATCGCCTTTCATAAGTAGGATGAGGGCCGATAGAATATGCTGTCAACACGCCCGAAGACGATCCTGACAACATTCCCACCAGCCCCTGGGTCATCTTGAGAATATGAGAGGATTTGGCAATCCACACCGAACAGACAGCATGTGTGATCATGTTCACGGCGGGGATGCCGAGTGTGGGGTGAGAACCCAGATCTGAAGCGCCTAAGAAACGACCACGCTGTTCTGTCGTGGAGATGAAGTAACTGCGTCCCTGGGGACAGCCTTCGCCATATATCATACCATATGGCTGACTTACGTCCATTAAATTGGGGACACCGACCATATCACCCGATCCGAGGCCGTATTGCGCTTCACCAGGAAACATATCGGCAAAGTGGCGGAACATTTGGTGGTCGGAGACACCCCAGGTGCCAGCCTTTACGGTCGATGGGTCACTGGCAGACGCAATCCCTTGCTCTGCGGCTCCGTGGATGAAGAGAGGGTTCTTGTCGGGCCTGAAAGAGGCATGTATGTGACTAACCGGGAAGAGGAGCTGTGAAGTATACGTAGCTATGGCGCTGCCATGGCGAGCACTCGCTGCACGTACACTTCCATGCTTCTTGGGCGGGTCGAATTTCGCTGGTTTGCCCCGGGATAAAGATTGCATCAAGCGAGTGCGCAAGATGTATTCGCTGCGCCACGAGGCTAGTGCGGTCAGCCGGGAGAAGAATCGCCTGTCCGACTGTAGGTCTGCCGCATCGAGATTGGTACGCCGACCATCCTCAACGGCATGAGGCCCGGGGAAGAATCGCGAAAATGCGATTCTCCAAGCATGAGGAGTGGTCACCAGCGCATGAAACCGACGGGACACCAATGATACGGCGGATAAGGCTTGTGGGGGTAGATGCGATAGGATGTGAGTGAGAACCTCTGCAAATCATGATTAGGGATCGTTGCGCGGCGAGGTTGTAGGCCACCTACCGTTCGGAAATGTCTCCAAAGACGCCTTCGACTGTCGAATAGAAGCCACTAGGCATGATCCAGCATTTGCTTCTTGTCTGGGGGGAGCGCGAGCATTCTCATTCTGGCTCACTCGGTGGACTGAGGGCGGGGAAGAGCGACCGTCGGCCTCGTTCAAGGACGCGTCGAATTCACTTTGCGTCGACATACTCGGGACGTCTGCAGAGTCTCTGATCTCCTCGCCCTCGAGGTTATCAGAGACTTGAGCGTCGTCGAGGTCACGTCCATGCTGGGTACGACTGATTGTGACTGGGTATGAGTCAACGGGGGGCGTATGATGAGACACGACAGTAGGCTCTGGTTGCATAAAAAGGTCTTGACGAAAAGATGAGATGATAGCGACTGAGCCAGCAAGAAAGCCTGGGTCAGTCGAGTCAATAAAAGAAGAAAAAAAATTTATAAGAAAAGCGAAGCGATGTTGAAGAGTGAAAGAAATGGGAGAGCAAAAAGATACCGGGGAGGCAAAGTGGCCATCCCGCACATTGAAATGCGACTTGGATATCACGGGCTGTGCACTCGGTATACAAAGTAGACTTGTGCTCCTATTTTGAACGTTTTAATTAAAGTCAGCGATACGATATCTTTTGAAGTGCATTTTTCCATGATTTGATAGGTCTCCGATGTATCTCTCGGTTTTACAAGTAGAAGGATGAGAATGCAGTAAAACCCATGCGCCAGAGCATGATTTATATATTCAAGGAAAAATAAGATATACATTGTCTTTTGTTAGAAAACTGTCCCATTCAAGCATTTATCATCTCTCCCTTTGAATCATCTTTTTCTACTCCGTACTCTCTTCAATACATACTGAATGGCCGCTATCCGGAACGCGTCCAACACGTGACAGCGCGACAGAAGCCTATCACCAACTATCTCTCAGTACTTTCAAGGTCGATTGCAAAAGTAGTGTGATTCTCCTGGAATAGCTCGTTGATACACGGCATTTACCAGGTCATTTCTACCCGGTGTCTGATTAGACCCAGATAACTTGCATGAACAACACAACAACAGTGCTGGATAAGACACGTGAGTGTGGTCGACCAAGATGCCTGGAGCAAGCAGTAAGACACCTTCGATACCAAATCATTATGCAGCTTACCGATATTTCTATAGATGCAGAGACCATTCGTATCCTCATCTCCACTGATAACCATGTCGGGTACAATGAGCGAGATCCCATTCGTGGGGATGACAGCTGGAAGAGCTTCCACGAAATAATGTGCCTGGCCAAGGAACGGGATGTCGATATGGTTCTCCTGGCGGGAGATTTGTTCCACGAAAATAAACCATCACGGAAGTCTATGTACCAGGTCATGCGGTCGATTCGCATGAACTGTTTCGGGGACAAGCCCTGTGAGCTGGAGATGCTCAGCGATGCAAGTGAGAACTTTCAGGGGGCGTTCAATCATGTTAACTATGAGGACCTGGATATAAACGTGGCGATTCCTATCTTTTCGATCCACGGGAATCACGACGATCCCTCGGGAGAGGGTCACTTGGCCGCACTAGATCTACTGCAAGTGTCGGGTCTTCTCAACTACTATGGTCGAACTCCGGAGTCAGACAACATTCAAATCAAACCTGTCTTGCTGCAGAAAGGCCGGACAAAGCTTGCGCTGTATGGAATGAGCAACGTTCGGGACGAGCGACTGTTCCGCACCTTCCGTGATGGCAAGGTCAAATTCTTCCAGCCGTCTGTCCAAAAGAGTGACTGGTTCAACCTGATGTCTGTGCATCAGAACCATCATGCTCACACAGAGACCAGTTACTTGCCAGAAAACTTTCTTCCCGAGTTTCTCGACTTGGTCGTCTGGGGCCATGAACATGAATGCCTGATAGATCCTAAGCTCAATCCAGAGACCAAGTTTCATGTTATGCAACCAGGATCGTCTGTCGCAACGTCTTTGGTGCCTGGGGAGGCTGTTCCCAAACAGGTCTCGATTTTGAGTGTAACAGGCCGTGAATTCAAGAATGAACCTATCCGGTTGAAGACGGTGCGACCATTTGTGATGCGGGAAATTGTATTATCCGAAGAAAAAGGAGCCCAGAAGCTTGCACGCAAAGAAAACAACCGCACAGAAGTGACTCGGTTTCTCATGTCCATTGTCGAAGAACTGATTGAAGAAGCCAATGCAGAATGGCTAGAGATGCAAGGCAACCGCAGTGATGAAGACGATGATGAAGCACCGGAAGCTCCGCTTCCTCTTGTTCGTCTCCGTGTGGAGACTTCCACACCGGAAGGAGGTAGCTACGATTGTGAAAACCCGCAGCGATTCTCCAACCGCTTCATTGGTAAGGTTGCTAATGTAAACGATGTGGTGCAATTTTACCGGAAGAAAAAAACCGCTTCTACTTCGCGCAAGGATGATAAATCCGTTGATGAAGCTACTATCTCTCATCTATCGGCCCTTGACACTGTCAAGGTCGAACAGCTGGTGCGCGAGTTCCTCTCATCACAGTCCCTAAGCATTCTGCCACAGAATTCTTTCGGAGATGCCGTTGCTCAATTTATTGACAAAGATGACAAACATGCAATGGAAATGTTTGTCAATGAGTCCCTCGAGAGTCAGGTCAAGCACTTGCTGTCCTTGGACCGTGACGATGACGAGATGGATGACGAGGAGAGAGAACAAAGCTCGTTAGTCACTGCGATGGAGAAATATCGTGGTCAAATGGAAAACATGTTTTCAAAGGGCGTAAAAAAGCGAACTCGCGGAAAGAAGCGTTTTAAGCCTAAGCCAGATGGTTGGGATTCCGAATTTGATGGCGTGTGGGAAGATCAGCCTGGTGCACTCATTCATTCAGATAATGAAGGTGGAGATCCGGCAGAGGAAGAAGCTGCAGAGGATGGGACAGTGCCCGCTCGTAGTCGTGCCACAGCCTCGACTCGGGGTCGTGGCAGGGGTCGTGGTCGAGGTGCGGCTAGTGCGGCTAGTGCGCGAACCACCAAGGCCAAAACTACCCCAGAAAACAAGACTACGAAGGGCCGCAAAAAGCAAGCAGTCTCAGACGAAGAGTCAGACGTGATTATACTAGATGATGATGACGACGACGACGTTATAGCCAATGTCATTTCCGATGACGACGACGACGACTCGCAGGCACTATTCGTCAAGCAGCCTCGCTCTAACACCACCGTGAAGCCACGGACAGTTGCGCCTACAACAGCGACGACTCAGCGCCGCGGTGGACGTGCTGCTGCCTCACCAGCTCCATCATCGGTAACTGTTAGTGGTCCTGTTTCTCGGCGAGCCCCTGCGCGTGGTAAACCAGCTCAGTCTACGCTCAACTTTCCCGCTTCACAGGCCAGCGCGCCTCAGTCATCACGACCTAGCCGCTCCACCCGTAATCTGAGTGTCATCAGCGATGGTATTGATGATGACGACGATGACGATGACGCCTTTGAAGAAATGCCAACCACCTCGAGGCGTCGTAGGTAATCTGCGATTTGCACCGAAACGAACATCTATGGATGTTTATGCCTTCATGCATGTAAGGAGTTATTGAAAACCACTTGGGCGTTACAATCAGCGTTGCCTTAAATTCTTCAATGGTATCTTCCAGATATGATTCTCAAAAATCAAATATAATACATAACAATCAAGCAACAAGGGGGCAGTACTGGGAGCTGTGAGCTTTCGAGATGAAGTATGCAAAATACGCTAGTCTGGATACGGTATTTAGCTTATATCGCAGGACATTTAGTTCCCTTGGCCACTCAAAAAGGGACTGAATAAGCCCAATACTCAAACCACCTTGGAAGCATCCCTTTCCAGTGATAAATGTGATACTTCGTCAGAGAGACCAAAGATACGATGTCTGTTGTTCTACTAACCCCGCATTCTCAGCCGAGGGACACAACCACCTCGGCCGTGCAACGCAAATGTGAAGGCAGAAAACATAGGCCCGATCCTCTCCTGATATATTGCCTCTGTGTACAAGAACAAGAGAGACAATATTTCAAACACAATGACATACAAGGGCCGACCCATTCGCATTGCAGGTTAGTTTAGTTGTATCCATGATGTACTCTAACTGACCTCTTCAGGTGCCTCGGGCTCTGCCTCAGATCGGCGTCATGCTATTGCTGATTTTGCGCGTCACCATCCGACCGATCCTATTGATGTCATTATTGCTGACTTCATGAGTGAGTTTAACATGGCCACCGCTGCGGGTCGGCGTGTAGACCAGGCGATCTCCCAGGAAGCAACAGCCCCAGCCTATGAGCTTTCCTTCCTAGAAGCACTGGAGCCGGCTCTGGAGGATTTGGCCAAGCATGGAATTAAACTTGCGGTCAATGCTGGAGTGACTGACACAAAGGGCCTATATGAGGTGGTGATGCACATGGTTGAAGCAAAGAAGCTGGACTTAAAGGTCGGTCAGCGCCTTGCCCAAAACTGGAAAGCAATTGCTGACTTGGGAAACCCAGATTGCATGGGTTTCCGGGGATGAGGTGCTATCTATCGTCCAGAAGGGATTGGCTTCTGGGTCTGAATTTCGCAACGTTTACACAGGCGAGCGATTAGCAGATTGGTCATTTGAGCCCATTTATGCCCAGTGCTATCTCGGTGGTCTCGGTATCGCAGCTGCACTCGCAGATGGTGCGGACATTGTATTGTGTGGGCGGGTCTCAGATGCTTCACCTGTCATCGGAGCTGCTTACTGGTACCATGGCTGGCGGCGCGATGAGCTTGACAAGCTAGCAAATGCGTTTGTGGCAGGCCATTTGATCGAGTGCAGCAACTACGTCTGCGGTGGCAACTTCACGGGCTTCAAAGCCCTAGAGCACGCAGGTGGAGATGGCTGGTCCAAGATCGGATACCCCATCGCCGAGATATCTGCCGAAGGCGACGTTGTGATCACCAAGCAGGCCCATACCACGGGTGGCGCGGTAACTGTCGATACTTGCACATCACAGCTGCTCTATGAGATACAAGGGCCTTGGTACTACAACTCCGATGTCACGGCGGTCCTCGATGGTATACACTTCTCGCAATGCGGCGTCAATCGTGTCGCTGTTCATGGAGTTCGATCCGGTCCTCCTCCTCCCACCACCAAGGTTGGTATCACTGCACGAGGTGGGTACCAGGCAGAGGTATGGTGGTTCTTGGCCGGTCTGGATATCGAAGCCAAAGCTCGCATGCTGGAGGGGCAGATTCGCCAATTGTTGTCACCCTATTCGGACAGATATACATCGCTGAATTTCGATTTATTGGGCTCTTCCCTCTCTGATCCAGGCAACCAGAACCGCGCTACTGTGCCGCTTCGCATCGTTGTACAGGCTCGGCATGCAGAAGAACTTGCACCCGCACGGTTCCTCAAACCCATCACCGATAACATCATGCAGGGGTATCCTGGCGCCACTTTTCACTTGGATCTGCGCCAAGGATTCCCGCGTGCCATTTTTGAGTACTATGTCAGCTTGTTACCCCAATCTGCAGTCCAGCATCGCGTCCACCTGCCTTGGAAGCCGACGGCATCAAGACAGATCCTCGATATCCCTCCTCCGACCAACACCAGGACGTATCCATCACGCCAACCCTCGCAACCTATCACCCACACTGACGGACCCGTCGACCTAGTTCGGTCGTTTGGGCCGACGACTCATGGCCCATTAGGCTGGATCGTTCATGCCCGCTCCGGGGACAAGGGTGCCGACGCTAACTGCGGCTTCTGGGTGCGTCACCGTGACGAATACCAATGGCTGCGTGCGTTGCTATCTGTTGACAAGGCGCAAGAGCTGTTGGGAGAGAGTGGCGAGAACCGTCAGTTAGCAATTGAGCGGTTCGAGTTGCCCAGCCTTCATGCAGTTCATTTCCTATTTCGCAACCTACTGGATCGAGGTGTCGGTGTGACGACCACGGTCGATTTCCTAGGTAAAAATGTGGCGGAATATCTGCGGGCGCGGCATGTTGATCTTCCAGTACGATTCTTGAACCGCGGAAAGCTATAGCCTTTCTTTCTCTGCTATATTGTCCCAGGTCATGTGATGCTATGATACTCAATCCCTTTAGTTTTCCAAGAAAAGGGAAGCTCCAGGCCCTAGGGGCTTTGTTGTTCATTGTAAGCTACCCCACCGAACATTGGAAAGTGACCGCATCGGGGAGATAATAGCCCGCGTTCACATCTTTCCTCGCCCACTGCCCCTCTTTTTTTTTTCCCTTTGGGCCGAAATGAGTCTGCAGAAACATACAAGGTATAAACCTCGGTATCAACTGTATATATATGTGATTATATATCTATGTGTGATTATATATCTATGTAGTGTATGTAGTACTTGAACATCCCAAGGTACATGTACCAACGTCCTGCCGGAATATAAGAATCTTACCTCGGCCTTACCCCGAGAGGGGCACACGCCACCCGTTACAAGGCCGTTGTCAAACCGAAAATACATGTAATTTTGTAATTTTGTAATTTTCACAGTGCTGATACTACATCAGGTACAATAAGTTGAATGTAACAATACAATACGGTACGGTACGGTCGTTTAACCCCGCATCACCTATCAACCAGAAAACGAAAATCAATCGTGGACCCTTCTCTCTTAGGAATATATAAGAACACCCCCTGTCTTCTCCAATTCTCTTCCTTGCATCTATCTTATACCCGAACAATGTCTCTCTCTACTACCATTAAGACTCCCAATGTCACTTATGAACAGCCCCTTGGCTTGTAGGTGTAACCGTGTCTATATCCGTCTCAATCGCTAATTGCCCCTAGGTTCATCAATAACGAGTTCGTCAAGGGTGTTGACGGCAAAACCTTCGAGACCCTAAACCCCAGCAACGAGCAGGTCATCACTTCCGTCTACGAGGCTTCCGAGAAGGATGTCGACATCGCTGTCAAGGCCGCCCGTGAGGCCTTCGAGGGTTCATGGAAAAAGGTGACCCCCTCGGACCGTGGCCGTATGCTTACCAAGCTGGCCGACCTCTTCGAGCGTGAGATGGAGACCCTGGCTTCCATTGAGGCCCTCGATAACGGTAAGGCCGTCACTATGGCCAAGGTTGATATCGCCAATGCCGCTGGCTGCCTACGCTACTACGGTGGTTGGGCCGATAAGATCACCGGTCAGACCATTGACACCAACTCCGAGACCCTCTCCTACACCCGCCACGAGCCCGTTGGTGTCTGTGGCCAGATCATTCCTTGGAACTTCCCGATCCTTATGTGGGCTTGGAAGATTGGTCCCGCTATCGCTGCCGGTAACACTGTGATTATCAAGACCGCTGAGCAGACCCCTCTGTCCGGTCTGTACGCCTCTAAGCTTATTGTTGAGGCTGGCTTCCCCCCGGTGTCATCAACGTCATCTCCGGTTTCGGTCGTGTTGCCGGTGCCGCTATCTCTAGCCACATGGACATTGACAAGGTCGCCTTCACTGGTTCCACTCTTGTCGGCCGTATGATCCTGCAGGCCGCTGCCAAGTCCAACCTGAAGAAGGTCACTCTTGAGCTGGGTGGCAAGTCCCCCAACATCGTCTTCGAGGATGCCGATATTGATAACGCCATCTCCTGGGCTAACTTTGGTATCTTCTTCAACCACGGCCAGTGCTGCTGCGCCGGTTCTCGACTGCTGGTTCAGGAGAGCATCCACGACAAGTTCGTCGCTCGCTTCAAGGAGCGTGCCGCCCAGAACAAGCTCGGCAACCCCTTCGAGGGTGACACCTTCCAGGGCCCCCAGGTTTCACAGCTCCAGTTTGACCGCATCATGGAGTACATCAACCACGGCAAGAACGAGGGTGCCACTGTTGCCCTAGGTGGTGAGCGCCACGGTACCGAGGGATACTTCATCCAGCCTACCGTTTTCACCGACGTCACCCCCGATATGAAGATCGCCCAGGAGGAGATCTTCGGTCCCGTTATCGCCGTCACCAAGTTCAAGGATGAGGCCGATGCTATCCGCATTGGCAACAGCACCAGCTACGGTATGCATTGTTTACATCCATCGTGAAATTTTCAATGGTCATTCTAACTATATGCAGGTCTCGCTGCTGCCGTGCACACCAAGAACGTCAACACTGCCATCCGTGTTTCCAACGCTCTCAAGGCTGGGTATGTCTTATTTTGATCAATATCTGTTGTAACAAAGCTAACTCTATTGCAGTACCGTCTGGATCAACAGCTACAACTTGATCTCCTACCAGGCGCCCTTCGGTGGCTTCAAGGAGTCCGGCCTTGGCCGTGAGCTCGGTTCCTACGCTCTTGAGAACTACACCCAGGTCAAGACTGTGCACTACCGCCTGGGTGATGCTCTATTCTAAATTAATAATGAAAAGAAAAAAAAAAAAAAACAATAAATCAGTTCAGTGATTGAAGCCATTGAAGCCAATGAGATGATGATACATGATTGGAATTTTTCGTTTTGTACATAAACCAAATTGGAAGACTGGGCTTCTTATCAATTGCGCTTCCGATACTTATAGCACAACATTATTCTACTTACGTGGTCTACATGGTCAGTTCAGAGAATCAGGGTAGATGTGTGTTCAGAATCTAGAACAATAGATATTTAGCGTGGCTCATGTCATGATACAAGCTGAAATTACCGATAAATCCATTGCTTCATCATTTTCCAGCTCAGCTTATCCCGGTAAGGTGCTCTTCCCCTGTCGGCCATCATCACGGGTCATTATGTGCCGCTCGGTACATCTCCCCCCGAGAGGCTCGGTGACTACAACAATCGACACCCGGCTAAGCTCGGGATTCTCGGCGGGATTTTGTGGGTATATGTTGTATTTTTAACCATCTAGAAACACGAATGAGGCAATCGAACTAGGTATGTACTATGTATTCATGGTTTCAATTACAAACATCCCGATCAGCACAAGCCAAGCCAAATGATAAAAGATATGGCCAATGACTTATTCCTTGTTTCCAAGAAACAAAACCATCCCCTTTGTATCATACACCAAGTTCGCCAATCGTAATCCCGTTCGGCAACTTCAGTCCGATGGGAAGTCCGCACAGGAACTTGTCGGTATAAGTTGCCCCGCGCTTGTTGGCAAGCTTCTCTTCAATATCTCTGTACATATCGTAACTAGTCGTTGTCAGTATTGGTGGACCACCAAAGTCAGTGAGACTCACGCATTCATCTCCTCTATAGTCAAAACCTTCTTCGTGTCTTCGACTTTATAGGTTGGGATATCTTTGTTGACGGAGAAACCTATGTACTGGTCAAAAACCAACATACTGCAGAACATTGAAGCACAACTACACTCACCAATCCGCTCGTTGATGTTATAAGCCGCCTTGGCGGCTGCTGCTTGCACCTTTGTGACGCGAGGAAGACGTACCTCCTCGTAAACAGCGAGGGCTTGGGCGATATCCCCTAAAAAATAACGCTTATCAAACAGGAGGCCAAGTGCTGCCGCATCTTCAATAGCCATGCAGGCTCCTTGGCTTTGATGGGGCATCATCGGGTGTGCAGCATCTCCCAAGAGACAGGTGCTACCCCGTTGGATATACTGATATGGATCATGAACCCAAAGACGCCATGGCTTGATCTCGGTCCCAATCATTAGATGATTGAACACTTGTCGGTCCAGCTCGGGGTATGGGGTAAGGAGTTCCTCAACAGGGCGGTCTTCGACACTCCATGCCTGTGTTGAATAGTCACCTTGGTCCCGCGGAAAGAAGCAATAATAGGATAGAAGCTTGCCGCCATTACAGGGGGACAGAACAATCTTGTCCCATTTGCCTTCCTGGCCACCCCAGTACTCTAGTGCGCTATTGTCAGAGTAGTTGACCAGGCCCAGTCTGATGGCATCCTCAGTGTTGACGTTGGTGTGCAAGCAACTCTGGTCGGAGGGTCGCTTTTCGGGTGTGATACCGAGAATCCCTCGCACGGCTGATCCGATTCCATCTGCACCGACAATTAGGTCGTGGGTCACAACCTCGCCGTTTTCGAAAACGATTGTACTCGTCTTCAGATCTATATCGCGACACTGGATCCCAATCAGCGTTAGCATATGCGCAATTTCAGTCGCCCCTTCCCTCCCCGATAGACTTACACGGTAGTTCACTTTGAGAATTGCTGGTGCTCCTTCACCCTCGCCCAACGCCGAATCCTTTAGCATGGCATGCATGTACTGGCGATGGAACATGTTGTATGCATACCCCCAGCGCTTCTCATAATCATCGAGGTCGTACACACTGACGGGCTCCCCTGTCTTCCAGTCGCGATTGATAAGCTTCTTCAAAATCACAGGGTCACCCTTGGCAACATCCACATTCCACTCGTGCAACCAGCGGGTTCCATTGGCAGCGCACGAAACCGATGCGCCAACTTCGCCCGCAAAGTCCGACTTTTCATAAATGGTCACAGTATGTCCTGCACGACGCAAAGCAACTGCAGTGGACATGCCACCAATACCCCCGCCGATAACGCCTACATTGAGACTCCTCCAACCTGACATAATGTACGGAGTAGATAGAATGAAACTTGGAGTTTATAAGATTGAATCAAAGTACAAGGATCTGGTTCAGGTAGATATATAGCAATTTCTCTGCTCTATCTATAAAATCTGGTGTCGATGATGTCTATGATGTCTACGTCGGCTGGCGGATGATGCACTCGGGTCGCGGACCGCGCACTGACGCTTATCGTCGGATCTACCGAATGTATAGGTAGCTACGCCCGAGGTCGGGCTTCACGTAGGTGAACTAATCATTTGCAGTCTCCAGGAGAGATTTGAGGCTAGTCGCTAGCGTTGTTACTACATCCCTAATAGCTCAAAATCGCAGCATTTCGTTCGCACGTAGTCGGTAGACTGTCATTGTAAGCCACCCGCCATCTCCAAGCCCGATCTATGACCCAGGACACCCTTTACATCTTGACAATTATAACCCAGACTCTTATTGTAAAGAGGGATATTGGTGTCATCTTTACTTTCGAGGTCCACCTCAACGATGTACTGGACCGCCCTGCACTGGCCGTGAATATCTCCGCTAACTTTTCATATATTGCACCAACTCTTTTTGTAGCTTGGACGACATTTCTCTGGCCCTGAACACCCCAGCAGATACATTGTCAGAGGTGTAGGTGAGAGATTGCCATTGAACTAGATCGCCGCAGAAGCTGAGCTTGTGGGCGGTTACTATATAGAATAGAATTGGTATATAACGGCAAAGAAGTACGCTTCGGGTTCCTGCAACATGTTTATTCGTTGAAGTCCACCGAGTCCATTGGATTGTGTGTTGGATCAACTTATGAGAGGTTCCTAACTCTCTCTACAAGACACTGCAAGGTTAAGGACTAGGCTGCTTTGGAAGTCCTGTCAACAAAGCTTCACCCATCACTTTCTCCAGTAAATATACCGCTTCAATTATTTTGTCTACCACCTTCTTACCTACCAAAAAGTCTTTGTCGTCCCGTAGGTTAATTCGCTCAACTCATTTGAAGCCTTCTCTCATGATCATATTGTGGTACTTTTTTTCCAAACATGTACGGGCCTAGCAAACCCTTCCTCGTCCCTCTCGACTTGCAATATCCTTTCAAATCCCTGCGCTTTCAACTCGTCCTCAAATGGTGGCCTGATCTGGATCGTCTTATACATCTCTCTCAATTCTTTATTCTTTTTTGAAGCTCTCGCATAATTGCTCATAGGCTGAGGCTCCACGACGAGATAGCCCCCCTCATTCAGTATGCTTTGGATGTGCGCAAATAGCGTTAACATCCCGGAGTCCCCGTTGTTAAGATGTATCCACTTAGTCACAGATAGTAGCAGGACAACATCGAATTTGCCCAGCGCGGTACCCGTGTAGGCGGACGCATCCACGAAGTCAAAGTGCTCAAAGGTGCACGGCCCGTCCGGGTACGCCGCCTTCGCCTGCTCAACCAGCCACGGGTCAATATCGACCCCGACTGAGGCAGCTGCACCGCAGTGCGCTATCACCTCATAGGTCAGTTTGCCCGCGTTACAGCCTAAGTCTATGACTCGAGCATTGCGGAGGATATCTGATGGGAGAATGGAAAGGCGCTCGTCCGGAACGGTGGGCGCCCGGAACTTGGCGTAATATTGGTGGTAGTTGCCATGGCGCGCGGCGAGATGTGTAGCTTTGAAGCGCTCTGCTTTGGAGAGTTCTGTTGTGGGGTGATGGTGATGGCATGCTTCTGCCATACTTGGAGATTGTAGGAGCACGGAGGCACGTGCTGATCACAATATTGATTATGTCGAAGGAAAGATGTGTGAGATGAAGAACATCAGGTTTGAGCACACTTGATAGGCCATATATTAGAAGTTACCTTGAAATTTTGTGATGCCAAAAGTTTCGGGCCGAGAGGTTTGTAGGGTTTGCATATGACTGGTGCCTGAGGCAACTATTTGGGAGGGTTGACCATGGAGACTATTTCTGCCGGTAATACCGAGACTTAATGATCATATAGAAGGACTTGATATTCAGATTAGGCGGATGCTTCATATTCACTCATGGACGGAGTAGATGTTCTGTCAATGTTATACCCTTTTGGAATATCCACAATCTGACGTCAGCTTTGCTTACTGTTTCCCGCGTCTTCGCTACTTGTTGCCTTCCATAAGGTACTCAACATGCCATTCAGACAAGCGCTTCAGGGCATTATTGATAAGGCGGACAAGGCTTGGGAGGAATTTAGCCATCACGCCCCTCCGATACCGTCATACAACAAGCCTCCCCCACCACCTATTCCAACCTCTAGCAAGCCTGCTTACCAGGAACAGCACTCGCAACCCCAGATCTACTGGCGGCCTAACCTACATCCTCAAATACCAGTGTCTTCCAATTTTGAACATCAACAGGGTCAGCATGGATGGGGCAACAATGAGTCGCAGAATTATGTCGACAGCCCGCAAAACTCATTCCATTCAGCCCAGGGCGATGCGGTGATCGTGCGCGCTCTAATCAACCACGGACATCCTGATCCTGCTCAGAAGTTTACCAGCGCCAGACTATCGAGTAACCAAACCCTCAGTCGACCACGGGGCTGTCTGTCGGCCAGGATTACCGCGCCGGTCGCCCGAGGTATCTGGCCTGCCTTTTGGCTGCTGCCTAAAGACCCCTTCCAGTGGCCCGAGGATGGCGAAGTCGACATAATGGAAGCGTGGAACGGCGATGCTGTCAATCACACTTGTCTGCATTGGGGCCATTTCAACGGCCAGGACTGGGACAAGCATCGCGTTCTCGAAACCCCCATCCCCCACATTAGCTCACCGGCGGGGGTGAGGTATGATTTCATTTGGGACGAGGACGAGACAACGGGCAGGGGGCGCTTGGTCTGGTTGATTGATGGCACACCCATCATGAGGGCCGAGAAGCCGCCTGGGACGAGGAAGATGAGCGAGTTCAGAATTCTCATCAACATCGCTGTTGGAGGAAATGTCTGTCAGGGAAATATGCCCAGCGATGGATGTTATGAGACAGTGATTCGTGAGTTGGCCATGTGGGACGCGCCGCCTGGGGGTTGGAGAGAGTTTGACCGGGTTTGGGGGAGTTCCAAAGATGGCAATACGATGTAACGGCAAAGGTTAGGTCGTGATGATCCGATTGGAAAGTATAGATAGCTAGAAGAGTTTTCAACCAATCTTCGGAACCGGTTTTCCACCCTCTACATGCTGAAAGGGATGATGTATGTCAAGTCAAATCAACCTTGGAAAGCCCAAAAGGCATTGTAGAATCAACAAATGTATAGAAAAGGTTACCCTATAACAAAGCAAAAGAAGCTAACAGTGGATAGCAAGCATGACCAACGAAGCAATAATTTCCTTGACTTTGTTGAGAAAGAGGTCCATGGACAGTAACCAGATATGACCCTGTCAAGGAATGTATAAAGGTTAGGCTATTATATGACACAGTGAAGCCAAGTGTCAGCCGTCAAATGCAGGGTCTGACCGTGTCACCTTATTTTGTCTGACAATGGGATATAACTGCTCAACTGTATCCCAAGCGCTTCGAAAACTTCTCTCCCCAGAATTATCTTCCAGGCAAAAATGCGATTGAATATCCTGTGGACCAGTATGACTTTGGCCTTGCAAGCCATGGCGGCACTCTCCCAGTCGGGGCCACAAAAGCGCTATCCAACTGGATCCTTCTCCATTCTTGCCTACGGTGTCGGCTCTGAGGGGTTGGATGTTTTCTATTCCGATGGTAGCTATGAAATTCCAAATGGGTGTTATGCCTTATCTGACCCGATGCTTAGGACTCGCATATGTCGGCGACTCTTCCAAGTGGGTGTCTGGATCTGTAACAACCGACGTTACATGTAAGCTCTATTTTTTTTTTTTTTTTCTAATTAGCATTTCCATCGACATTGTTCATCCTAGTCGTGGTAACAGCTAATCCTCCATTAGTCGTCTTCAAAAACTCCCGAATCATCGCCACGGCCACTAACAAGGATTATACCTTTGACGCTGACACTTTCTTCTACATCCGTCCCACCCCCAATCAGGTGCTTCCTGTGGGTTTCACGGGGAACGATATCGATATACCAGACAATGCGAGCGTACATCAATTTCTTTTCTACGGCAGGTATCTCATGTGGCAAAATGAGAATGGACTCCTGTGCGATTCGTTTCGTCTGAAGGAGACAGATGTCGGCGATATCTATCAGCTATACTGGGACACTTCTAATCTGTACCCCCCGGGCTTCTTGATTCCGACTGTAAAGTCATCTGTTTAGAACAAAGTGAACCTTCACCTTGCATTTCTTTGTTTTGGGGGCCCAGATAGTCATGTAGTCCTCGCAAACCTTATGATTTGTCAAATCGCAGTAAACGAAATGTCCAATAAGGGTGTATACGGAGGTAGTACAGGAGTCATTTGTCATATTGTAGTCGATTCAGCGAGAAATGGGAAACTATCCCATAAAGACAAATCCATACCCTCCCAGTCGAATAGGGTGCTATCAATCATGGGGGGTGTGACAACAGTAGCAGCACCATCTTCCGAGTGCAACAACGGATATGACGTGACACTCTGTGATCGAATTGGAGTAGCATTGCTCACCTCTTCTTCGTCGTCCGCCTCAATTTGTGTGTGTCGTGTTGTCGGAGTTTCACTCAAACTAAATATCCGATTGACATATGGACTCCGCCGCTGGCGGGCTTGGGCCGCAAGTCGCTGGCGCTGTTCCCTTATAGCTGCCTCCAACATTGTTATAATCTCTAGGTAGTGAGCTGCCTGGGCAGATTGCGACGCCAGCATGCGCAAGATGGTCAGAGCACCGCGGAATACACCATCAATCTCGGGATCCACGTCACGGCGAGAGAACATAGAGAACCCGAGCACAAGAGCTGCGGCAAAAATAAAAGCTCTGCTCGATGTTAGTGTCGGAGTCATTAGATGGCTATTTGCGACAGACGAACTTAAGAATACACATATTCCGAAGTAGAAGGCCGGACTTGTGCACCTCGAGGCATGTTTGCAACATGTATACAGCGGAATCAATACATGCCGCTGCGAGCCGAGAGTGAGCTGCATCCTCCTCAGGCACCTTCTCGCTAGAATCGCCAGTCGAGAGACTGTGGTGTAACCGGGCTAGCCGGACACTCAACGCCGAGATGAGGAAAGGTCGGGTGACTAAAATTACTGCAAAGTGATACGAACATGCAACGTGCATGCTTCCAATTGTATGTGCCCGGAAAGTACTCTGATCTTTGTGTCCCAAAGACGTCGTCCTTAGTGATCGCGGCAGACATTCGCTCCATGTGTTTAGTTTGCATAAGAGCAGATCTGCTTTCTCTGCGGACGCAGACTTTTCACTATAAAGACAGGTTATAATTTCGTCCAATATCATCGATAACCGATATGAAGCCACCAAGCCAGGGTCGGTAGGTGAGGCCCCAATCCAGCCAGGTTCTTGTCGGTTCTCCGGCAATAGAGGTGATGTGGCAGAGGGCCTCCCGAGAATTGAGCTGACAAGCAAATCGAGAATACATAAGCTCATCCACAATCGTGATCTATTGGTGATTAGTTGTGCTAAGTAGGTTTGGAGAGAAGGTTTTACCGTTCGTGGTTCGCAGCACTTTCATCGGGATTCATTGAGCCTGGAGAGTCTGCATGAAACCCCAGCGCCACTGCCGCTCGTGAAGCCACTCCCAGGTACATGAATGCCGTATTTCGACGACACGCCCCCAGCATGTAGAAGGACATGAGTAAAAATATTCGCACTAAATCCATGCTGGGGTCTTCTAACATATTGGCAAACGCCCCACGTTGGCCCCGAGCGAAGTAGAACCGCTCCACCTGAAGGCTCTTTGGATCTTTCGGGTAGGATTGTGCCCCAATGGCAACCATAAGGTCTATGGTGGCCGCCCTAGCCTTTTCCTGGTCGGTTTCAGGCTCTGCTGGGCTAATAAAAGAGGATGAAGTGTCGTCGTTGGAGCTCAAATTGAAAACCCCGCTTGTCTTGCGTGGTGTCAGTGATTTATCTACCCTTTATGGTTTGGCATCCATCCTACCGCTGCTTGATAACTCTGAATAAATCGCGCCTTCTCATCAAAAGTGCAACATTCTTCAGAGAAATTCAACAGATCATGATGAGCTTCTGCCTCTAACATATCCTCACTCCCACCATTATGAGAGAATTGTGAGGGCCCGATATGTTGGGTTACCGTGTCTCGAAGTAACTGTAGAAATGACAAAGAGGCAGCTTTCCCGACGTATACTGCAGCCAAAGTCAAATCAAATGCTTTGTATGAAAGTCTAAAAAGATAGTCCCAGAGCTCATACCTCTTTCCCCTTGCAGGTTACGGAGCATGCGCGGATGCGTCCGATGTGCAACTTCGGGGGAATGCGAGCCCGCCTCCGGCGACTCGGGATTGGGTGCACCGACGTCATGAGGCTGTGAGATCAAGGGGGTCTGTAGCTCGGCTCTTATTTCGCTCCTTATTCGAGGGGACTCGACCGTGGGTTGAGAAGGAGGTATGAGGCGGCTGCGGAGGCCTACATTTGGTAAGGACTTGAATGGAGTGCATGAGCGGCCTCGTCCTTTATGAGTACAGTTGGTGCATGGGAAATAACCACTGCAGCGTTTCTTGGATGCACGACAGGCAGTGCATGCGGTATTTGCTCGCAGCCGATTTGCTGGATGGACCTTGGGCCGTGGCATATTTGAAGAGTCTACGGAGTACAAGTCTGGGGTTGGATTCGGGAGATCCCCACAGGTCAGAGATAAGGGATAAGAGATAAGAGATAAAGGACAAGGGATAAGCGTGTGCGGCCCGACTTCCAAATTTCGGAAGAGGGACCTCGGGAGTACTGGAAGATAGCCAGTTTTTGTAGGGTAAAAGCTTCTGGTGTTGCATATCTTGCGTGCATGATACTCTGGGGGAAAACCGAACAAATAATAGAAGTATCACCCGGAATGGTGTGATTCGGTGCGACGAACTTGCGCACACTATGATAGGATATATATACAGTTGCCGATGTAGCAGAAGCTAGCTATGTGTATTGCATAAAAAATAATGAATGAACAAAGCCGGTAAGTAGCAATACTAAACCTCTACATACTTTAGTTACAAAGTATACAAAGGATCAAGAACAACGTTATAAAAAATGATATACAAGACACTGCACAAAACAGTACAACATACTCCGTACGGAGGGAACAGCAGAGGTTGAAATCTTGAAAGGATCCGCCCCGAGCGAAAGGGATTGGCAGATGATTGGACAGAAAATGCCATGGATCATGAATAGTCCGTGCTCCACTTAGGAGTCAAACAACACAAACAGAGCAATGCAGACAAACAAGAGAATCTCGCTTAGCACTAGCGTGACTGTCTAAGGATATAAATATGGCCAGCCCCCCGGACCTTCTTCTGTTTTTCAAGCGACTCTACGTATGTTCTCCATCCCCCATACAGTTTCCAAAAAAAACTGTATCTCAACATCTTACTGACGATTTCCCCAACAGTTCAAAGAATCACTTTAGAGTAGACGTCCCCTTTCTAAACTCTTTAAAAGAGCCACAGAATCTCCACCCTTGCTGATGACTACATGTCCTCGATGCCCTAAAGTGAAACCTTTTTACTCCCGCCTCGACTGTCACGCGTGCTGCTCGCAGTGTCTGTGTTTCGGTCCAGGGAGTGGTGATGATCTTGACCTGGTCTCGGCGTCTGACTTCGGTCGGTCGGTCCTGGTGGGTGTCGAGGAGGTCTGAAAGGTTCTCTTCCAATTTGGTTGATATGGGAAACTGTGGAGGGGTTTATGCAGCTAGCCAAAAATTTAATATATCTCCCTTGACTTTTACCCTTTCGTACTGCTCGCATCCCTCGCCATCTGGTCTACGAAGTAGAAACTGGTTAATTGCCATTTTAGTATATAGGCTGCAAACAATTCGTGTTCATGGAGGTCATGCTGGGCGGGATTTTCACACTTCGGCCTAGGCAACTGCCATGATCTAGCTAAATCCTTTGAATGTATCACGTTGATACTGTCTGGTTCGATTAGCTGGCCATAGTATAAAACAATTGCCGCGGCCATGGTGTAATCATCGGTAAAACCTATCATGCCTTCGGGTATCATGTCTCGTGAACTGCTGAAGTACTCAATATGCTTGCCCTCATTTCGCCTCGGTGCTTCCGATTTTATCTGAAGCTCCAGAGCTTCCCTTGGGTCCTTTATTTCGTGAGCCACGCCCTCCACGAGATCCACGAGAGGAACCAGCATTACCCCCAACATTACCGCCAGCCCCTGAAGCGCTTCCTGCAGTTTCGGCAGGAGCCTTGGTCTTATTGGCTGTGAAACCCTCGCGGCCTTTGCGCGACTTCTCGATTCCGGGATTCTCTTTGCGCTCCAATACCACAACTTGACTCTGGGCCACCGACACGGGACTCGCAGCGATGGCTTTGCGAAGTGCTTCCGGTTCAGCAAAATCTACGTAGCCAAATCCCTTCTTCTTATCGATCTCGACCTTCGTCACTGCTCCGAATGGGGTGAATGCAGACTCCAGGAGCGCCTCCGTCACACCCTGGGATGGGTTGGCGTGTTTGAGGAATGCTTGTTTGGCAGTCGATGAGTGTTTTGCTTTGCCGCCTTTAGTAGATTTGGCTGGCTGGGTCGCAGGCGGCGCAGCCGCAACAGATCGCGAGGATGATTCGCCGTCCTTGGACTTTGGTGTATTGACTGTGGATGATGCGGGTTTGGGAGCCCTGTTGGTTTCCTTCTTGGGCAAATCGGCTGGTGGATTAGCCAAGTCTCGAGAGCTTTCGTTCTTGGAGGTAGTGTCAGTCGAACCGCCTTTGCCGCGTCGTCGCCCACTGGATGGCGAGAGTCCAAGATCACGCTGAAGGATCTTAGTGGCTGCTGTGACATTGCCGCGTTCTCTCTTCCGCTCTGGAGCTGCAGTTGTATCCTTTGTAGTGTTTGATGCGGTACTCGACTTGCCTCCCTTGGAATTAGCAGAGGCTCCTTGTTTGGTTGCCTTGATGGAGTCCTTGCTTGTCCTTTCCCCTTTGAGTTTCTTGTCGGAAGCGGCTGTAACGATTTCCTTATCACCCCGCTGCAAGAGCTTTTTCGCTTGCACTTTCTCCTGCTTCGACTCCTTCTCCGATCGACCGTGCTTGGATTTAGACCCGCTGCCGTCCTTTAACTTGCTAGCTTTCTTGTCTTTGATGAACTGTACTAGCGGGGTGGTCATGACGGCTTCCTTCTTCTTGTCCTCACCATCAGCTGCGGAATCCATAGCCGCGGGCCTGGTAATGGGCTGGGTCAGACTTTCCAAGAAAGCGATGAAGTCGGAATCTTGGTCAATCGTGCCTTGACGAGCATCCTTGCGAGACCGGCTTCCGGGGGTCTTGGCATAAGGTGCAAACTCCAGCGATGGAGGCCCAAGTAGAATAGGGTCATGTAGAGTGTTACGAGCATCCTGGAAAGAAGCCTGGCGTACGGCGTCTGAGAGCAAAGAGACACATTCGGTGGACACAACGTGGATGTACGCTCTTGATGGACGAGATGGCTTATTTGGACTATTTGAAGAAGTCCAGTCAGTCAGAATCAATAGAAGATGGCATCAGAGCGTGAATCCTACTCTTTCGACACCTTGCCAGGTTTGTACTGAAGCCAGTCGATGTTTCCTGCTCCAGTCTTCCACTGGTCACCAAGAGCATTCTCCAGCTCGGCCTGTGTTAGCCCGGGGGTAAACGCCGAATGAGAAGTTTGAGACGTGGCGCGGGAGGCTTGGGGGTTTTTTTTTGCGGGCGCTCCAGAGCCCGCTCTTTGCGTAGCTGCTGCCGAAATTGGGAGCAGACCGGCGGTGGTCTTGCCAGGCGGCATCATGGTGAGATTTTTCGATAAAGGCGAAGCTATATTTCTCGTTCTCAACACGAAGTCATGGAACCCCCAAAGGATGTTGAATAATGGAGCCAGCCAGCCCACTTATCCAAGTTGACAACCCGCCGGGGGAATCTACCGGGCTGAAGGCGGTGTGATTGGACGGGAAGTCTCACCGCCTATCCGGTCAGTCGGCATCCAGTCGCTGACTCATCAGTTATCAGCTCCTGGGCTTCACCCGTTGACAAACGGGGTAGAAAAATCATTAGAATAGAATTATTGGCAAGACTCTAGAACATATCTGCTATACATCTCTTATGAAACACCATAATGAGAACTCGGCGGGTTGGACCTCTGGAGTCCCGGTCGGGCCTCCACCTGGGTCATACCAGTCTTATCGATAAGCATCTCCGGCCTCTTCGACCTTCCTTGGAAGGTTGCAACACACTAGGTAGGTACTTAGATCTGCAGAATGAATGACAAGAAAAGCCCCGTCTTGGAGAGCCAAGGAGATGCGCCGAAACCGAGACAGAGAAAATACTTTTTCAATCTACTCTGGCTGTTTCTCTGTATCATTGTATCCACCGCCTGGTTCACACGCTCGCACTCTACCTTTTCTCCAAGCATCGAGGAAAGGGTGCAAAATATCCTGTCCCAGACTCCATTGATCGGTATGGAGATTGGAGAGAATACTTACGTATGAAAAAAGCATGACTGATGGCCTAAAACAGACGGCCACGATGATCTTCCTATCTTGATTCGGGAACACTTTCACAACCGCGTAAATGACTACAACTTCACTGAGGCTTTTGTCAAGGGAAAATTTCCCGGCCACGTTGATATTCCCCGGTTGAAACAAGGTAGAGTTGGTGGTACGTTCTGGAGTGTTTTCGTGGCCTGCCCCGAGAATTGGACCGATTTCTCCGACGAGAATTATGCAGCAAGTAAGTGAACTCGGTACGATGGCTGTTGCATAGTATACTCACATTGGAATCATAGGCGTGCGAGAGACGATGGAGCAGGTGGATCTCATGTTGAGGATTCAGCAGGCATATCCCAAGGTCTTCTCAACCCCGCCAAACGGTACCACTGCCATGGCCGCTTTCCGCGAGGGGAAAATCATCTCACCGCTTGGTATCGAGGGCTTACATTCGATCGGTAACTCAATGGCCCACCTCCGAATATTTTATGAGTTAGGCGTTTCATACGCAACTCTGACGCATAATTGCCATAATCGGTATGCCGACGCCGCCATTCTTGAACTTCCAGGCGGTGGAATAAAAAAGTCCGACCCTCTTTGGCACGGTGTCAGTGAAGAAGGCCAGAAGCTGGTGTTTGAGATGAACCGCCTGGGGATGATCGTCGATCTAGCCCATGTCAGCACGGATACCATGCGTGATGTGCTGGGTGCCGGCAAGTCCGAATGGGCAGGGAGTCGTGCTCCAGTGATTTACAGCCATAGTTCGGCCTATACACTCTGTCCCCACCCGCGCAACGTCCCCGATGACATCCTGGAGCTAGTCCGGGAGAAGAACTCCCTGGTTATGGTTAATTTCGCACCAGACTTCATTTCCTGCACTGCGTCTGACCGCGCCGATGGGATCCCAGACACGGACCCTGTTCACGTCACTCTGGAACGAGTTGCTGATCATATCATGTATATTGGTAATCTTATAGGCTTCGAGCATGTCGGAATAGGTAGCGATTTTGATGGTATTCCGACGGTCCCCCGAGGATTGGAGGATGTGTCCAAGTTCCCGAATCTGATAAAGGAGCTACTGAAACGAGGAGTCAGTGATAAAGATGCAAGTAAGGTGGTAGGGGGTAATCTATTGAGGGTATGGAAGAAGGTGGATGAGGTGGCGCTTGAGATGCAAGCCGAGGGTGCACTGCCTGTGGAGGACTGATTCTTTGAAGGACTTCAAGTTCATTTCATTGTCAATTTCCTCAGAGTGGTGCTTTTTCAAGTGTCATAATCTGTGAATTTGCAGCCCCAAAGCTCTACGGGAGTGTCCTCAGACAAGCAAAGTTTCAAAGATACAGACAATTCATGTTAGAAAGTTTGTTTGTCTGAGATTATCATAGTCATGACAAACCCAGCAGTTAAGATCAGAGCTCACCTTACAAGCATTATACACTCGTATCCGGTCTGGGTAGAACCTTTTTTAAATCGGCGTAGAAGAAGTAAATCGATAGCTCTTTTCTCATGTAATAGAAAGTTTCTATTTGCTTCTAGCAATCCTTTGCATCTAGAGATCCGGAGAGTGGCTATCGATGGCCGGATCAAGGCCAAGAGCGTCTCGGACAAGGGATTCTGATCTACACATAGGTGGATATAGGCTCCTAGTGTGACCCTTCCAACCAATTGACTATATTTATATTACAGGGCAGGGAGGATATTCGTCAGCACTGGAGATTTCATTTCCAATCTGCTTCAACTAGTTCTCATTCATAATCGCTGCCTCCAAAACTAGTACCTGATCGACAGGCCTCATCAGAAGACGCATCCAACCTGGTATCTGGAAAACTCAAATTGACCATTTAGCAGCCAAGGTTGATTGCTATTCTTTGGTTAGCTAATTTTCATTAGGTAGAATTGACCTTCAGACACTAACCATTAGCATACAGTGCGTACGAGTCAGCGTTCAGCACAGCCTTTGCGCTAGAAAGGGATGTGGCAGCGTCATATCCATATCCGTTGTCATCGGTTCCCGGGCTGTATACGCCTGGCGCATGGGTCAACTCGTGGAGAGTGGTGGTTGCTTGATCTTGGTCGTGACATGAGCTAGCCAATGCTGGGAGATCGCTGTAGTAGAGATCGCAATTGGCGATCACATTTTGAGATGGCAGAGTGTAAGCCAAGACATTGGTCTCACAGCTATTTGGATTACATTTGTAAGCCACGTATGCAAACAAAGTCTCTACTGAAAGGAGGTACTTACTATCCCAAGGTGTCTGAGCAGTAGTACTTGGTGGCAGTCACCGAGCTGGCTTCTTTAGCCACAGCCTGAAGGCGAGCAGCCACAACCTTGCGCGTAGCGGTGCTGGTGGTCTTGAAGTACTCCTGGAACCTATCGGAATTTGTTAGACTGGTTAATTAGCAGTAAAGAATATGTAACATACTTGGAGGAAGATCCTGAAAGGGCAGCCGTTGCGGCGGCGTTTGCGAGCTTCACAGTATTCGCAAGGGCAGTGTTAAGAGCCGACTTCTTGCTCGAGCTACTGCAGGTTTGAAGAGCCCGACGATCGAGCGGCTTGATAGCCTTCTCCACACGGGAGGCCTTGACACCGTCAACCTCGATTTTGAGATCATTGGAACGGTATGGCAGATAACCAGTGACTGCACCATCAACCACTATGGGAACCAGACCCTTCGACTGGAGAGTCAATGGACCTCCGCTAGACAAGTCGGTGGTAGTGGCAATGTCAAATTCATCCTCGAAGGTCTCTCCTGCAGCAAGGGAAGTGAGAGATTCCGAAGTGAGACCCTCAAGGACGAACCGGCGCTTGATTCCCTCGAAAGTGACCTCAGCATCTTATATCAAATTAGTATTGAGCCGATGGTGTCCGGAGAAGTTTCAAATACCGTTCTTGAAGACATTAACCTTCTTTACAGGTGCGCTGTCACGGAAAAAGTTGAGATGCACAAATGTGACATCTTCGCTACCAGAGTTCTTCACGACAGCCTTGATGCGGGTGTCACTGATACGACTCAAGGTGATATCGAGGCCAGAAGTCTCATCGGTATCGACTGGCAAACCGTGCACGGCTAAAGCCAGAAGTGTCGTAGAAAGGGCAGCGAAACGCATGATGCTCGGAGGACAAAAGACTCAAAAAAAAAAAAATTGTAATTCTGATGTCTTGGATACTGCTGGGAAAAAGAAGCTCCTATCCTCGAGAGGATATTGTCTGCTTTATAGCCGGCTGATACGAAGTAAAATGCCGTGGTTTCCTCTCTCCTCCATCTGCCCCCCGTCGCCTAGAGGGACAACGAAAGAAAGAGTGTAGTATCTTCCCTGCATGAAACGACTTGATCACGCCAACAGCTATCTTTGCATAAAACGGACACGGAAGACCTGCGGACACGGAAGACCTGCAGGCAATCTTGTCACTGGTTGAATGTATCTTGAGATAGCTAAATCCCAGGAGCAGGCAGCGGGCAATCATGTCACTGGTTGGAGATATCTTGGAATGGCTACATCTTCAGAAAGATCAACAAAGATGTCATCTTGGCCCGACGGAAACCCGCGCCCCCGATGGACCGGCTTTGGTGATTTAAGATGACTGAGGGTTTATGAAACTGGATTTGACTGCTTACGGTTGAAGAGCGGGGCGGGGTGCTCGATGTAACTCCTCACGATCGGCTTCATATATAGAGCTTTGCGCCAAAAGCAAGCCCCTGAGCAGATCTCTCTGTTTGGCCGAGGTATGGGATTAAGCATAGAAGTTGATTCTGTGGGACACAAAAATACACCATTGTTGTAGGAAAACAGAGACATTGAACTGTATAGAACTCAACATGGTCATGATAATACAGTAATGCAACCTACTGGGATTCATAACTTTGTCTCCTTCTCAAGTGGCCTACAAAGTCTCCTCCATTCACATCACGCCAAGCCCTAAACCCTGCGCTTCTCCTCGGACTCCGGTGCCAAGATACTACCTAAGACGGCACCAAAGTCTTGACTTGATAACTAATGCTTATTCTCAACCATTATGAGGAATCATGTCCGACATGGCCTTAAAAATAGTAGAGGCTTGGCTATTGTGATGAAAAGCCCGGTCCGGTGGGTAACGCGATGCCAAGTCTACGAAGCAAAGAGTGTTGCACGGAACCCCGGAGGAAATGCGGTAGAGTGTCCTGTTCAGTTGACTTGGCATGCAATCAGTAGACTTGATTGGATGCACACGAGAGATCGTCAACATGATCGGCGTGTCCAAATATAAGGCGTGATAACAAACCTGGACACACCCAACCCTCTCAAACCTCGTGATACTACTGTCAACTTTTCCAATAACTTCGTTGTCGCCATATTATTTATCCTTTTCCTAAGATTCAACAAGGACCCCCTTTGCTTTGAGATTATGGAGTCAAACTTGAGTTTGCAGGTCACCCTGGCCCCCCAGGCACCGATCCTAGAGGCACAAGAACCATTCGCTCTACCAATCAAAGTTTCTGTTCACAATGCCGCAGATTCGCCCGTTACTATTTTGAGATGGGGCACCCCGTTAGACCCTCAGGCTGGTGTGCTCGGTGTTTTCGAGATTTGTGACACAACGGACCAACGGAAAGTGTCCATTCCTACTATCATGGTATCACGCAAGCTACCCGCCAGTGAAAAAGATCTCGTTGAGATACAAGCACGCGAAACCCTCGATGTAACTATCAATTTGCCAATTCAAGGCCTTGAAAAGGGACATGAATATTCTGTTCGTGCACAAGGAACTTGGCATGCGGTGTGGCCCACTGAATTATCCAATGTGACTGTATCCCAACTCAAGGACAACGGAGGTGCCAGTCGCGGGGACTTCCTATCCAATGAATCCTTTGTGAGCATTGAGTGAGAGATATATCTGATACTTGGTGATTTGAAGGAGAACGAGCATGTAAGGGAAGTTGACCGATTGCTGTCGATTTCCTACGCCCCGTGGTCTATTCTATATGTCGTTCGCCGGAGAATGAGACTGGGCCAGTTCAATTTTACTGTCATGAACTCCTCGAAGATAACAGTTGTGTTACATGTCTTAAGATTCCCCGATATTACACAATTTGTTAAACGAGATTTGATCCGATGTCTAGTATTAAGGTCCCCTTATCATGCCCACAGTAAAGCGCTGATGACCAAGCTTTCATTAGAGTACATCAGCTCCATACAATACTTATGTCTTTCTACAAAGAACCAAGCCCAAAGGATGACGCTAGAGCTGTGTTCCAAGTTCTGAAACGGGGTGGTATTGCGATTATTCCAATGAATGTTGGCTACGGAATAACCGCGATCGATCCGGACGCATTGGACCGGATTTTCCGCACGAAACGACGAGAACCACACAAGCGACATGTCATGGTTGGCAGTTACCTTCTGCATCGAGAAATTCATCTTCTTGCCCCACAAGAAGCAAGCATAGTCAAACTCTTGACTGTGAATTTAAATCTTCCTCTTGGGGTTGTGGCGCCATATCGCCTTGATCATCCCATAATTCAAAAGCTTCCACCGGATATATTAGCCAAGAGCGTTGTTGAAGACACTCTAGCGCTGTTAGTCAACGGAGGGGCTTTGCTAGACGAATTGTCTCGACTTGCTACCATAGAGAAACTTCTTCTGATGGGATCATCTGCCAACATCACCGGCACGGGAGTGAAGATTGTGGTTGAGGACATTGAGCCTGAGATCCTGAAAGTGGCAGATATAGTTATTAATTATGGGATACAAAAGTTCCACCATCCTCGACCCTCTTCTACCATGATCGATTTCAGGACAATGAGAGTTGTGCGATACGGAGCTTGCTACGATGTAGTGCAAGATGCTCTCTGGCGATTTTGTAGAATCAAAGTGCCAGATGATCCTGGAACGTCTCCTCTTTCATCTGGAGAGACTACTGTGGACAGGATATAATGTATCTGGTGTACACACAGAAACAAAGACATCCAGCTGTTACATACCCACGTGAACTACTAATTAATAGTAAAAGCATCGAACTAAACGAAATCCGATGGCTTTGCTTTGCGTCCACAATGTGACAGGAAAATCCCCTTTCAACTCATGATACCCACCATCCGAGAAGATAAAAGTGATATCGATTGTCAAAGAGCTTGCTTGTACCTCTTGATCTTGTATTCATACGGAAATCCTATTTTGATTGTACTAGTCAAGCCGAAGGATGTAGCTATATTTCACCGTGTATTGACAAGAAAAAGTTGATCACACTCTTGGTATTCATCACCCATCCAATAAAAGGTAATAGAACGAAATGAAGATATTGTACAAGACGGACTTTATGGAACCTATCTGTCAAGCCCATTGTGGTATCTAATCAAAACCACAAGTATAGGCATAATGCAGCGATACTTGGTGTACCTAAAGTCTCAGTTCTATCGGAATATTGCAGTGAAGATATATAGGGCATCAAATTTGGACATTTGTCAAAACTAAATGTAACTGACAGTGACAGTATTTCCGGTAACAGAAGAAGATGTGAGAATCCGATCCTGATAGATGTCCATGATAGTAGCATTTGATGGTCCGTAAGTAGTCCTACCGCGCGAGGCAACTGCATTGGAGAATACCACAGTGCCAAAATTGGCAAAAGGCGCCATTGCGTTGTTTACAGAAAAGTCCTCCACAATCCATTCGGCATTAAACTCGCAGAGGTTACCCCCAATGCCATGGGGGAATATATGCGTCGCAGATACACCGGTGGATAAGTTTTCAAGAGTAACAGAGCCGGAACTCCTCGAAGTCGCATCGACTGTCGATTTGATTACATCTCCAGCCGAAATTTGGATGTTGCTAAAGTCATGGGCGTAGTCTGGATACCATTCGTACCAGGCGCTGTACGACGTAGTTTCCCCTTGGATACAAAAATCAATTCCTGTTTGCAGAATGGCTGTATTACAAGTATCGCCATCGATGCCAACCCACGCAGACGCGCAGTAGTTCGTGTAGGAATTAGCACCCCTTGGAAGTTGGGGGAAAGGAACTGTGATCTCCCCGGATACCGAAGTGTACCCAGTACCAATAAGCACAGCCCCAGCCCAATTTGAGCTGTAAGTTTCTTGAATCGTCTGATTCAAATAGAGCTCTTCTGAGGTACCCAGAGTATAAGGAGGGCTTGTGCGGCGCATGGCTCGTGCAGATCGCTGTATCGCACTGCTCGCCTGTCGCCGAGAAGTCAGAGGAGAGGCGACGATAGAGGTGGCGAGTAGCGCAGCACCAATGATCGTGGAAGGAAACTTCATAGTAAGACTCTGGGAGTAAGTCGGTAACGAACTGTTCCAAGTACCTAGAATTTGAAGAGAAATTTGATATAAAGGAGTTAGAGGATACTTCGCATTAAACCTGACGTTTATATAGCATTGCAGCGAATAGTTTTTGAAACTCCGATAAGCCTAGATTGCACCAGAAGAGATAAATGACCGTATCATGGGATGCATGAATTTGAATGTAACATGAACTCCGTATGAAATGAAGACAAAAAGCGCAGATGATTACTGTCGGGGACCGATCAGTTGGGCGAATTTGCGAGGTAACCTCGTGGACAACGAAATACACAAACACCATCTAGTTGAAGATATTGAATGATCGAGGTGTTCCTTGCATCGGTTCGTCATATGGGTTTGGACTAATATACATATATATATATATATATATATAGATATAAGCCGAAGTAGGATAATTATCAGCCCGGCTACTCTGGCAGCTGGTTATTCATTCGCGTAGCCTAGCACAGGCGATATGTACAGATAAATAGCATTTTCAATATAGACAGCATGACTGAAAATGATCAAAAGCACATGAGAAGCCACTTAGTCCTGTGTTACTCCTGGGCTGTTTCTTCTCTGCCTTTCGGCCTCAGATCTGACGACAGGTCTTTTGGGGGGCGTGGCAAGGGGAGGGTTATGATAATATCAAAGATGTCTCACATCTGAAGACCTTGGATCCTCTCCACCAATCTATCATTCTCTGTATTTTCTTTTCTATTCTGAGTAATGCATAGGAATGAGCTGTATCTTTGAATTGACACCTCTCGACGAACAATTGGATGACTTAATTGAGGACCCTGATTGTAAATTACTTACTTGTCTCTGGCTTAACAAGATAAAAGTAGACTAATGCAAAGGATTTGTTCATTTATCTTGAAGTCAGATCAAAGATCTCAAAGCGAATAAGCAGTAAGGCAGAGAATATGCAGAAAAAAAAGTATCCTCGTGAAATACGAAATAGAAAGATGATCGACTTGGTACGTCGATCAATCCGTAGGGGCCTATACGGCTTTCAAGAGAGGCTAACCGTGAGGACACAGGATACAAGCATAGCGGATAGGGCACTAAGGCGATGATGTATGCTAATTTTCTAGTCAATATTGGATGAATACGATTATACTCCAAGTAAAGGCGCGAGATTGGGACGATGTAGACGCTATGAGCGCAGGCAAAATTGCTGGCACTCAGAGGCCACTGTAGTAATGGCTAGATATTGAAACCTGATTCATGTGTCTCTCTGTCGTAGCCAGCTAGTGCTGTTTTCGTAGATCCCGTAGATTTTGTCAGGAGCAGAGGACCAGCATTACACGTATGGGAAAGATGATGCAATATCATGTGCTAACTTGATTGCAGTCACCCAGGCCCTCAAGACATTTATCCTGACCAGGAGCCTTGCGATGGCATAGCTAGAACACTTATGAATGCACGCAAGAATACTCACTGTGAGCCACCCAATCAGTTCTCGCTTTCCATGCTGATGGAAACGGTTCGATATAGGCGAATTCACGGGTGAAAGTGCTCACGCCGGTGGAAACCCCTGGAAAGGGATCAACACGCTTGATGCTCTAGTCTCATCTTACAACAATGTTGCGGTTCTTCGACAGCAGCTTCCGGATTGGTGTGTATACTGTGCTTTCTTGGACACACCAAATGTAGCCAACGTAATCGCGGACTATACAAAAGCGCTTTGACAGGTGCGCAGCCTTAAGTTGAAGGGGTTGAATACCCTTATCAGTAAAGTGCGGAATTGCATTGAGGTGTCAGGTCAAGATTGAGGAGTATGCATCCCTTTATGGCCTATTTACTCACCCAGCTACATGTAAGAAAACAATTACTTATCATTTCTCTAAGGGGTGAGTTCTATACCGATGTTCGATTGAATGACACACTCTGTGAGCGCTACCACGTCCACGTGGGACGATATAGTCGCAAGGTTCTTAACCGCCATGAGAAGTAATGAACAGGACCGTCCGATATTGGCTGGTGATTGGATAATAGTTTTTCTATTCAGCAAGACTAACCCATGCAATTCAATAACAGGCAACGTTTAGCTACGAGACCCCCACACTTCATACAATGTTTGCGATCCCTGGCCCTGCAACGTCCACATCACCCGACATTTGCAGCTGCAGCTGGAACAGAGGAGCCTCACGCTGAGGCATTAATTGGTAGGGATATGATTGTAGAGAATGATATGTATGATATGGCACGGCGTCAATGGAAAGAAGAGGTTTTGCGGGAGGAGTAGAGGTATGTAGTACTCTGCAAGGTTATCAGACAGTTCTCCTTTCAGTATATACGATTTTGAGCTTCCCAAAGAGTGAACAAGTTGTAGTCTTCAAAAGGATGTCAACTCCCCATACTACATTGAATCCGACAATACATCCAAAAGGGGAAACTGTCCCGGGATTCAACGTCATGATGACTCAGCCTTCCCCGCGTTATCTTATCGGCTTCGGCAGTGAGGTCGTTCAGCATCCCGACACCTTTCTTCCAATAATTCGCCTTCGTTGATCCTTTAGCTCATGCCTGCAGGCTGATCCCTGGTGGTTCATATCCATGCAGGGCTTGGGTCGTAATGGCCCGCGATCTAAGAGTGGTAGGGTGTTTCTTTCACTTTGATACGTGGCCGACTAACTTACTCCTTGGTAGGTTGTAGTACCTGTCGCCGTCGCAAGGTCAAGTGTGGGGAAGAGAAACCAGTCTGTACAAGATGTTCATCCCTGCGCCTCAAATGTGAATGGGGGGTCCCAGTGAAGCGTGGGAGAAGCACGCAAATTCGACATCTCGAACCTGCATTGGAGCAATTGAACCCTCAAGACCCAGCTGAGAACCTTGTCGAGTCTCGACAAGACCTTTTTACATGTCTCTCGCCTGTCTCTCGGGTATCTGACGTTATTCCTTTTGACACGTTTGACCTGGCGCCAATTGCGACTCTCATATACCCTTCCTTGAGCATCAACGTTGCATGTGCCAATTCATTAACACTCACCACTCTTGATCGACAATACTTTCAGTACTTCCCCTCTTCCTCCCTTGTATTTTACTACATGAAGGGATGGAAGTGGACTGGACTCTGGTGAGATCTTTATAGTTGCCTCCCCCTTGAGTCTTGAAGAGTTTACCCGGCTAATCGGGCGAGATTAGCCATCTTTACGAAGGTCCAGCCACATCAAATAGAGTCATAATGCGAATGATACTGGCAATAAGTGCATCTGATATGTATCGCAATGGGTGGATCACGCGCTCTCAGGATCATGGTCGGTACCATTACAGTCAAGCTGTCAAAGAATTCAGGCAACTACTTGAAACGCCACGCCAGGTTTCATTGCATGATGTCGAGACAGTTTTTGCCACTGTGTTTTTGATGATAGCATGGGAGTGGCAGTTCGGACACTCGGTGCGCCATGTGAGAATGCTCTCATGGACTGACTCAAATTATCATCGGCTAATGCATTTCCAGCTCCAACTCCACCTCCAGGGCGTGCGCTCGCTTCTGGAAACACACCCACAACTATTCCGCATTAAAGATGTGAATGATATGCTCTTTTCTCCCGGCATTGATACATTGGCCAATGATGCCGCGAATGTGACCAAGATCTCCTTCATCCCGGAGCAGTTTTTGTTGTGGATTTTGTGAGTTTTTTCCCAGCCGTCAAAGTGACTTACTGACAAGGATCTAGATATATCGATGCTAGTTGCCGTCCCATCGGCCTTACCGAGTCACTTAACGACTATGTGGCCCAGTCTGGGAATCCTGCTCTGCAGCCGGACCATCTTCATCGTTGTGCTCGTCTATGGGGTCGATGCTATTGGGGCGAACAGTACCCCGATGAGGAAGTTATGGACGACATTGAGAATTATAGAGCCCTCGAGCTGTTGCACGCTGGATTTTGCCTACGTCATCGAACTTGGAAGGTCTTCGTGGAATCCGCGGCTGGTACCGCCCGCTCCGCCGAAGCTCTTTCCCGTGAGATCCTCGGTATTCGAGAAGTCAGTATAAGTAACCCTCCCAGATATCGCGGGAGTTACTGATCGTCTGATTAGAAATTTTCCGACCTTTTCATTACCTCTAGGTTTGCCGGAAATGTCTCGGCTCGACGTACGCTCAATACCATATACATGGCCGTTTCTACCTTCTACGCCCAGGTCCTTCTCCACCGTCGCCTCCTCTGCGTCGATACTCTACCTCTGGGGATTCATCAGCAAGCTACAGCAGGAATCATTGACATTTCCCAAAAGCAATTTTTGTCTGATCCGAACCTCCTCAAACGCTTACACCTGCCGCTGTTCATGGCAGTGATTGAAACCGATAATGTAACACATCAAATATGGCTCCGCCAGCGTCTAAGGGAGCTGCGCAACTTTCATTCCGAGTTTGCTTGGGCACATGATGTGGCCGAGCAGATCCTGGCCCAGCAAGACGTGAGTCGGGGACGATATATCAATCTGGGCGAATTTCTACTAAAGCGTTTTCATGCGCAATAAAGCCTACAGGCAGACTCTTGTACATTTACTTACATATTGATAGACCCACACTTATATCTCGGTCACTCTGCATAAAAGTCTGTCAATTTGCTTACCTTGCTCTTTCAATATCACATCCTCTTTCAATTTGAAGCCCATGGTAGTATAGAAATGTGTGACTTTGATTTCTTCAGAGTCGTAAATTTATACTGAGACCGAGAAAACTCGTTATGAGTGTCTTTCAGTTGTGAACCGAAGCTATCTAGAAAAAAGCCATCCCTCTATAGCCTCGCCCAACCTTCACAGTCTGCTGCCAACTGGGTTTAATGCCTGGCCAGTGTTCGCGCCTCTAATGTACATGCCATTTAGCTGTGATCTCTTTCCTCACACATGTGGAAAGCCAATCAACCTACTTTTGACGTACTAGGAACCCAGCAAAGAACTTGCCGATCTCAGGATAATCACCTAGACCCATAATAGCAGAGACATCTAGCGGTTCAAAAGCGTCAATTATATGTCAATCTCTCACGTCCAGGTATTTGCTTACATTGATCTGGGCGGACGATGATAAGAGCGCCCTGTGACGGGTCAATCCCGAGATGTTCATATGCATGGCCGTGACCATCGTTGTAACTCTCGTCGTCATAATAAATTTTGTGTAGATCTGAAGATTTCAGGTTAGGTATGGTGGACATATTGGAAATCAGAGTATCTGCACCTCTTGTTTGGTTTTTCCCAGAGACAGGATAAAAGCACTCCGGGATCTGCTCCAACTCAACACCATGACGCTTCCCATGTCCAACCAAAATGATCTCGATAAGGCTGTCAATATCTTGATTCTTCGGGGTGAATGTGTGGATAGGCCCGTCGGCTGCGCTCAAGTATTCTCCCAGCTATATGATGCATCAGATGAAGCCCAGATGATAGAGTGATAGTGACAAAACAGACCTTGTTGAGCTTTGAGTGGTTCTCTGGTACAGTCAGGTCACCTATGAAGGCGATGATGCGCCACCGGCCATCAGACTTGAGACACTTCATAAGTTGTAGGGGTTTAGAGTCACAAAATCGGACGACCTGTGCGCTGGGTAGCCGCATACCAACGGCTACATTAGAGGCGAGCTTGGTCAATTCCAGTGCAGAGGTGATAGGCGAGACCTCATATTTGGCCGTGAAGCCTGCGGTGTATTTGCCAGATTTGATGAAGCCTTCTTGGAACTCGGCAGGAGAAGTGGGGACCCCGGAAGAAAACAACTTGGAGAAATAACGATCAAATTTGATCAGATCAATGGCCACCTTCTGACGTTCTAGGACGTAAGTCTCTAGAAGTGAGGGATTGGCCAGACCAGTCAGAATCTCGCCCAGTTTCCAGCCGATATTGTAGCCATCCTGTAAGCTGACATTCATACCCTGTCCAGCCTTTGGGGAGTGTGTGTGGCAAGCGTCACCAGCGAGGAAGACCCGGTTATCCTTGTGGAAGAAATCGGCATGACGTTGGCCGATCGCGTACGCCGACCACCAGACTGTCTCCACAAAGTCTACCTTATACGGATGAAAAATGCTCTGTGCTTGGTTCTGCAACTTTCCCAGCGTCACCTCCTTCGGGTTGGTTCCTGGGGCAAGTTCAATGTAGAACCTCGTCAGGTTATCATTATCGCCTTCACGAGGGATAATCAAGATGTTCCCAGATTTTGAGCGGATGGTAGACTTCTTGCGAATGTCAGGGAAATTGGTTCGGGGCACCATGTCCATGACACCCCAGACGGCATCGCTGCTGTCTCCAATCATTTTGTACCCAAGGGCTTTGCGGACAATGCTGTGTGCCCCATCACAAGCCTGATGATCGGGTCAGCAAGCGTCCACATCTTGGAAATAGAGAATGGGCACCTACCAGCGCATATTTGGCTGCAAACACTTCTGTTTTCCCGTCCTTTTCCGCAGTGACTTTGACTGGATAGGCGCCATGATCCTCGATAGAGGCACTATCCACTTTGACGTCGGTCACATTGTAGCCATAGTCAATTTGTTGGCCATTATACTTCTCCATCAGCTCAATTAGAAGCCCATTTATACGTGCCTGGTTCAGAATAACGTGAGGTTGGTGTGATAGACCTGGCTGGGTATCCGCTGTCCGGCCTGTTCGCTTGATAGCGCCTGTACCATTGTCGGCCCAGAAGTTGACCTCTAGAACGTGGTAGGCCTCACGAAGAAGCTCTTCTCCAATTCCAAAACTTTCAAAAATCTCCACGGTGCGACATTGCACACCGTCAGCTTGACCCATCTTCATAGGACCACCCCGTCGTTCTAGAATCTTGCACCGCACCCCATACTTGGCGAGCCAGGTGGCAGCGCAAAGACCGGCAGACCCGCTGCCGCAAATAAGGACATCAACTTTCTCCATTCTTTTCAAGTTTATTTGCTAGGTTAGTATCTCCGGGGTCTTTTATGATGCACCCGGGATGAGATCCGAGGGTCCGCGGGATGCGTTCCGTGTTCCGAAAGGGGATGGGATGACATTCTGGAAAGCCTCGGCAGTATCTACGTAGATCGATTTCTCTCTTACATTCATCGGTAAAGAAGTTTTCGGGATGCTACCTCGTAGAATAACTGATTTCATTTGATCCCCAGTTGGTTTCTTCATATCCAAACACAAGGCATATGCATCATTAAGTCTGGTCTAAATCATTATATAATGCTCATCCTTCCGCCCAAATATCAAACCGAACGCCAGCGCCGGTACAGAACTCGCATCACATCTTACAAAAAGTACTCGCTGCGCCCTGGCCGCGAAGTTGGAACATGCCGCTGGTCATCGCTGACTGCACTAAACAGCTTAAAGGTGGGTTTGAGATCCTCTCCGATTTCACAGACCGAGGCCAGGTTTCCGCATCGGTAGCAGTAGTTTGGTGCACTCCACACGGTGACGACATTTTGGTTATTAAAATGGTACTTGTAGCCCTCGTTGACCAGCTGATGGGCGCGTGCGATCAACGAGAGATCATTAACATGGCAGAACTCATCAGCCACTCTGTCTCCAAATAACCATCCTATGATTGTCAGCTATGTATATTCAAGGAGAGAAGAAAGATCCTCACCTGCTCCCCGAGGACTGACAGCCCATGTCTCCACATCATCTGGGTCAGACCACACGAGATCACAAAAGGCACCCTCATGGGGGATCTCCTGTGCGCGGGCTACCACGCGGACTTGGTCCAATGTGCGGATCTCAGGGCTCAGACCGCCGTGAACACACAGCACCTTGCCGTCAATAATGGCCCCCAATGTCATGAAATCGAAAACTTGGCAGCATGCCTTCCATACTGAAGCACTGCCGTATTTTTGGAAGCATTCTTCGTAAAAACCGTATACCTGGGTGATTTGGCGCGATTCGTGATTACCACGGACCAATGTGACTCGATCGGGGTATCTAGTTGGAGTCAGCAGTGAATACCCCCATCTCTCAGATGCTACTCACTTTGCTTTTAGGCAGAGTAAAAGAGTTAACGTCTCCAGACTGAAATATCCGCGGTCCACATAGTCACCCAGAAATACAAAGTTACGGTTCAGCTGGAGATCCTCGGGTGTACCGCTGGCCGATCGGCTTTCTGCACTCGCATCTTCCTCATCATTGGAGTTCACGTTGGGGCCGCGAAGCTTCTTGCGAATTTTAGGGTCTGAGATGCTTGAGGGGGGTTCGATATCGGCAGAGGTAATCACGGAGGGAGATGTCTTTGGGGGGTCCAGTTCTGTGCCATCGGGCATACCCCCAGAAACTCGAAAGAGTTCCAGGAGATCGTAAAATTGGCCATGAATGTCACCACAGACTGTGACAGGTGTCGATACTGGCTGGATATTTGATTCTGTAAACACAATCAGAATGAATAGATCAAGTTCAGGTTAGAATAAACTTGCCCTCCATCATATATTCCTTGACGATCTCACACAGCTGCTTCATATGTGGCTCGGATAGGTACTTGCAATCCTTCGCTGCCTCCAGCCACTCGTCGGGGCCTGCATTGCGCTTAAGTTTGGCAGGACCCGGTTGAGGAATTTTGCTCTCAGGCATGATTCAAAAGAAAAATAGAGAAAAGAATGAAGAGAAACAGCGAACGAGAATGAAGTAGAAGAATGCAGAGGAGGAAGTGCAGGTGGTTTCCCCCGCAAAGCTGAATTTCGCCCTTGGCCGCCTTGGTCTGCCGAATTGTTGAGCTCTTCGACTCTTCTAAGCCCTCTCCCTCTTTTCTTCTTTACAACGTAATGCAATATACTCATGTTGTGTGATTAGACGTGCCGATCTTATATCTTTTACTTCAAATTGGACTCCACGCTGATTTCTAACACGCAGTTGGCTTAGTACTTGGAAACCCTCCCGCTGCCCGCACAACCCTCGCGACCTGACCATACGACATTCGTTCCAGACAACATATGCGGATTTGTCAACAGGGTTTACCATGCAATCGAAGCCTCGAAACGAAAGCCATTCGACGTCTATGCCTGTACACACACATCACTTGAATCTGTACTCGTGATTGGATCTGCGGAATGCTACTCCATACAAGCATTCAAAGGGAAGATACGGTTGTGTCGGGTAAACATTCAGTAAACGGATTTATCATAAGGTATACAAGGAGCAAAAATAGTTCTGAACACTCATAGAAATGCAATCAACCATCAATTTTGCCGAGGTAGTCAGTCACAACTTCCGCGAATGCTACAGGCTGCTCAACCATGGGCAGATGTCCAGCACGGTCGATAATCTTTAGATCAGCGCCTCCACATAGATCCGCCGCCATCTTCTGCATTGTCTGGGGTAAGACACCGTCATTGGCTCCAGCGACGAACAGACCCGGCACAGTGGCAGCAGCCATGCGCTCGCGGATATCGTAGGCACAGAGGGCCTGCACGCTGTGGGCAAATCCTTTCAAGCTGTTGGTGCGCACCGCTTCCTTGACGGCGGCAATGACTTCAGGCTGGGTCTGGTATGACTCCGGAACGAACCAGCGACGGGTAGTGACCTCGGCCAACTCTTCGCCGACAATGGGTTCCTTGGTGTCTGGATTGGTAGAACCTTCCTTCTCGCAGATGGCGACACGGTCACCCCATGCCTTGCGGTTGGATTCGGGGGCGGAAGAATTCGTGTCGCATGCGATGAAAGCCCCAACGCGCTCCGGGTGAAGGAGCGAAGTGTTTAAAACGGTCACACCACCCAAGCTCACACCGATCAAACGAGCGGCCTTGGGAGGCACTCGCAAAGCTTCCAGTAATGTCACCAGATCAGTGGCCAGCAGATCGATGTTGATAGGCTGTTCACCACTCTGCGAATTCCGGCCTCTGGTCAAATAACGAACGACACGGTAGCGCTGGTTTTGTTTATGAGCAAAGAACGCGTCAACGAAACGATCCCAGATGTTCCAGTTGACCAAAATGGAGTTACTCAACACGACCACCGGCGCATAGGGGTCAGTGCTGCCCTCCAGTCGGTAGGGAATTTCAACGCCATCAGAAGTAGTGACGAACGACTCGACAGCCGGGCGGACAGTGGAGGGAAATGTGCGAGTACGGCCATCATTGGAGTTCCAAGGCCCAATGACATCTGGGGCAGCTAGCGAAGTCAGCTCACGGGGAGCAGGGCCGAAAGTGTAGTACCATTCATATACGCGGCGCTTCTTAGAGGTTACGACCTCACTCATGAGACGTGATCCCCATGGGGTATTCATGGCGGCCTTGTGAGCATCGCCTCCAAGACCATTGACGGGAGCATACTCGTGAAGCGCCAGCGATTCACGTTGGGCGGCGGAATCAATTGCCGCAGTGACAAAACGGCGGCTACGGCGCCATCCAGGCACACGGGAGAGCATTTCAAAATGTTCCTCCCGGTACCATTTATCCAAGTCAGCTTGTTTGGTGGGGTCGGGGTGAGTGGCAACTCGGACGGCGACGAGGACGCTACCCTGAGTCTCGGCATCTGTATCGGCTTGATCTTCTAGTGGGCGAAAGTTGGGGTCACTGCGCTCATCCACTAAATCGTACAGTAAACGGCCGACATCAATTTGCGCCATAGTCTTCTTCTCCCGCTCCGTCTTTATCAAGTCGGTTCTTAGATCCAAGTAGGTCTCGCGGGTCAATTCGTCCATGTCGGTAATATCGTACAAAGCCACATATTCAGGTTTTTCTCCATCGGTGGCACGGAAGCGAAAGCCATTAGTGACAAAGGGCAACCGCAGACGCAGAGGTCCATGTTCAGTGTTGTACCAGTCGTGAAACTGGGTGTCTGGCAGTGAGCCCTTGGGCTGCATTGTCACGTAGAGAAGACCGGGAGTAGGCATTATGAAGATGAAATTGGAATAAACGAAAAGAGTTAAACGTAAAATTATCTTGAAGACCTTTAAAGACCTTTAAAGCCCTTGAATATCCCCAAGATTCCTAAGATGTTATAATATCGGCACTCTCAGAATTGCCCCTTATCCGGGTGAAGGTAAAACCCGAACTTGACTGCCGATATTGCCCTTTTCGGTTATTGTCTTTTAAAATCACTTGATATTTTATGTATATATTTGTACAATTTGGATCATTTTTTTAATCATTCTCAATCGTCTTAATCGTACCAGATGGCATTCATGCCAAATCCTTGCTCGGGAATATCCACACGCGCAACGCGTGCCAGCTTCTCGTCGCGCCAGCGATACATCTCAACAAATCCGAGCTGGTCATCGCAGAGTGCGAGCCACTCGTCACTGAAGTCACATGGACTAACAGCATTGGAGTGACCACCACTAGTTGAGGTGGGGTTAATGAAGAGTTGGCGTTCGATCTCGCCATGGGCGCCGAGCTTGAACGCGGTGATGTAGCCGGTCACGTCGAAGTGGTTAGATCGAGTAGTGGCAAAGAGATATTCTCCCCCTTGGTACAAAAAGTGACATCTCCGCGGTACTTGTTCCGTGGGGGAAGACCTAAATGAGGGATTAATTGTAAGTTACATCGATCGCTTGTTGTCCAGAGGTCGTAACACTCACCGGAAGGAAGTAATGGGTATGTGATGTGAGTGAATACTGGTTTGTGGGTGCGCTCATCGATCACGTAGACTGCCAGTCGATTGCCCGCCTCCATCAGCGCATACAGGTACTTGCCGCTTGGGTGGATCTCTACCCAGCGGGGGTGATCACCAGCATCAGGAGCTTCGAGGCAATCTACCAGTGCCAATTCGCCCGTCTTGGGATCCTTGATGTGCGTCCAAATCTTGTTGGCCGTGAGATCGGCGGAGTACAGGTAGGTCTCTGTGGGGTCGAACACCATGCCGTGAATTCCAGTGTTGGGAACATATTCATGATTCTGGATGTTGCTGTCTAGAGCTCCGTCGGACTTGACAGAAAACACGTTACCGTACCCGGCGTAGTTATAGAAAGGGTTTCCGTAAACATTGTAGGGAGGCTGGTGGGCGGCAAGCACGAAGATAGCACGAGTATTGGTCTCGCTGCTGGGAGCCAGAGCTAGCGCGAAACAAAAGGAATGGTTAGCAAGTGGAATTGGAATTGGATTGTGGACATACGGTGACCAGCAACCGGGTGCGACACTTGGTGAACGATCTCTGTCGGGCTATTGACGGCAAAACTGTTCCACTTCTTCATAGCTGCGCCATATATAGTCTTCTTATCGTGAGAAAAGGTCATCCATGAGATAGGCTCCGCTTCTGGAATCTCCGTCTTTTTGATCAACTCTAGCGTGAGGGCATCATCATCGAATTGTACGGTATAGATGCGCCCGGGAGCGGTCCAGGTACCGACCATCAAATGATGCTTCATATTGGCGATTGAGGAGTGAGAGAATGATCGAGATATCGAGCTAGTTGCCCGTGCAAAGAGAGATCCGATCATGTACAAGTCAAGAATTCGAATATAAGGAAGTTATCCACATGCGGGGGAATATCGGCATCGAGGGGCGGCACCCTGCGGGAGTGTGTTTTACTACAATGCCGATGTTAGGATCACGACCTGTTGTCCTTTTTATTATCAATTTTAATATGTATATATCCTAATACACTACCGAATATGTCAGGTGATTATGAATGTAATCCAGCACATCTCGACAATCCTTTTTGTGGAGGCCTACCGACACATTTTCAAAACTAGAAGTGCCTTTTTACCGTAATCCGGGGTAGAATCCAAGGATATATCAAAACTTCACAAACTGCTCTTGCCGTTCAATTTCTGTTTCTAGCTTGTTTTCAATGAGAATATAATATTGCACAGCATACTCAATACTTTCTAACGTCTCTGCAACATACTACGTTGTGTACCACTGCTAGACGTTTACAGTAGTCAGGCCAGGAGATCCTCACAAAACAGCAGATTTCACAGTCATTAAGCTGCTTGTAATTAAAGCATTGGTTGTTTTGTATCAGTATGGCCATTGGCATCTTGCCAATGGGATTGTGAATGTCTACACAGTATTGTGCCTGGGTTGATATGTCGACTAGGAGTCCTCTCTCTCTCGATATATATGTACATATATATCTTTGCACGGAGGAGTAACCCCCAAATACCCTTGGATGCTTAAAGGATATTTTAGATAACCTCCAGGGCTGTCTATAACCTCAGTTATCAATTGGCTTGTTTGTTCTATATGAGAGGGTAGACATTTCTAAACGTCTACGGGTGTATCCCTGCCGGAGAAACACTCCCCCACATAGACGGGTAAGACCTTTTCCCTCGGCATCAACAATGTCACCCGCGATAACCCTGCCTCCCGACGGCTAAGTTGAATCAAATATGCAAACCGGACTTTCTTATGTACAGATTCCAACGTAGACTCACCATCCTCAAACATACCCTCAAATCAATCGGAATCAACCATCCGCGAACCATGCGTTTACCCTACGCTCCTTCCACCCCACCTGTGGATGCACCCCCCGACACCGCCGACGTTTATGCCCGCATCGCGGAGCGCAGAAACCCCCGTCCTTTGATCCCGCTTGATCTGTCCCTCCTCCACAGCCCACCTGTTGCCGATGGCTGGAACAGCTTCATCGGAGCTATTCGGTCGCGTACCATAATCGACTCTGGTATCATGGAGTTGGCAGTCTGCCGTGTTGCCGTACTCAATAACGCTACATACGAATGGAATGCTCACGCTCCATTGGCTTTGAAAGGTGGCATCCAGCCAGATCAATTGCACGCTACTCTTACACTGCCTTGCACCGCTGAGGGGGTACTGCCGGACTTGAGAGTAGTGCACTCACCCCGCAGCAGCGTGCCGTTCTACGCTATACCGACCAGATGACTCGCACCATCAGAGTTGAAGATGATGTTTTTGCTGAATTGAAGACGGTCGGGTATAATGACCGTGAGATTGTGGAGCTCACCACCGGCATCGCCGGTTATAACTGTGTGAGTCGGTTTTTGGTTGCGCTGGACGTCGGCGAGAACAATGCTCGCGAGATGAAGAGTGTAGACGAGTTAGTTGCTACTCTATAGCGGGTGAGAGGGATATTACCCTCAAATAAAATGTTGCTGCAACACGAGGAGACTCTTGACGAATGATCTTGGCAACATCGTTAGAGCCACTGGAAGTGTGTGAATAGAAGATTTGGATAATGAATAAATGATGAATCACGATTGGACTAGATATATAAGACCCCAAGTAAAGCATAAAGCCTTTGTTCTCTCCTGCCCCCTGAATCAACTACAGGCACTGCGAGTAGTAGTCATTCGACTTCTTGCAGGTGTATGGGCTGACACAGGTGGTTGGACCGGCCCAGTTAACTCCACCGCACTGCGCATACTGAGGGGCCCCGGTGGTGCTTGGCCCAGTTGCAGTTGTGGTGGTCGCGGCGACGGTGGTGGTGGTGGTGGTAACTGCGGTCGTTGTCCCGCCTGAACCACCTGAGCCGGGGAAATAATTTTTCAGGAGACTCATGTAGTAGGTATAGGCTGTGCCGGATGGAGGCTCAAAGCTGTACATGTAGTCTCCCCACCATGGTCCAGCGGACCACCAAGACGCCCCAAGCCAGACATCGCTGTTTGCTTGCAAGTAATCGAGCATACCTGTAACAGCGCTTTTGCAAACAGAATTGGGACCACCGGCAAATTCACCCAAGAAGGCTTTCTTGCCATTGTCCTTAAGCCACTTTGTGGCAGCCGTCACTCGTTCTTTACCAATGGTTGAGCTCACACAAGCCTCTGATGTGCCGGAACCATCAGAATCCAGATACTGGTGCATCTCATAAATAAGCAAGCCTTGTGGATCTGTCAAGGCTTTCATATTGTCATTGACAGTTGGCCATGTCCATGCACCGCTCCACGAATTGCCTTCCACGAAAATGTACTGCGATTTGGCTCCTGCGGCTCGGATCGCGTTGATAGCAGCTTGATTCAGGTTCAACACCAGGGTTTGGTCTTCGGAATTGAATTCATTATCTACAAAGTTAGTGTATGGCTTTAGGACTGGAAAGGTGTATCTTACTTGTATCGAAGATGACCCTCTCATTCGACGCGAATTCTGAAGCAAGTGTCTTCCAAAATGCTGCAAAGTCACTAGTCGAGGTGATGATATTGCCATAACTATACAAGGTCAGGTGAGTAGTCCACGTAAATACGATTCAACTTACTATCTTCCAAAATTGTGAGGGTCAATAACAGCATATCCACCGCTAGATGTGATGAAGTTGACAGTCTGTGCCAAATTTAGCATCAATCTTGGATATATGAAAAGCCAGAGCACATACACTTTTCAGTGCAGCCAGGTAGGTCGCATCCGGACTTGACGTCAGAGTTCCAGGAACCAACCGCTCCATTGCAAAGGGAACACGGAAGAGATTCATCCCTGCGCTCCGCAGAGTTTGAATAGCTGAGGTTGATGGCCAGATGTAATCGGTACCCAATACCCCCGGAATGTTTCCACTCCCAAACTCTGCCCCAGCTTCGTTTGCGCCGAACCCTATGCACGACCTGGTCAGACATCCAGTTTCCACCAGGATTGTTACACATCGTACAAACAAAGGAAGATGCTCTTTTTGATAGGGATGGTCCTGGCGCTGCCGCCACCAGGCCTGTGACGCCAGCTATAGCGAGCAAAGATGTATACCGCATTTTGGCAAAGTGAAAGTTCTCGAGGATGCTATGGAATATACATTGCAACGGGAGACAAGATGTGACTTTTATATCAAGTCACAATGGACGATACCGACAAGGACCGAACTCCCTGATCATGAATGGTCCCCATAGGACAGAGACTGTGAATCTTCGCGCAAACACTTTTCCCCGGAAAGACGGAAATCATCTTCAAGTTCTCCATTCGGTCTTTGCGGACCGCCCCCCCGAGTCCGAGTCAGATCAAGTGTGAAGATTGTAGAGGTGAGCAAAATATGTTCCAAATTCATCACGGCATCAAAAGTTGCAAAGTTGGTGGCTGGAATGTCGGAAATTTCATGTTTCGTGGAAGGGCGCCACTGAAGGCGTGAAACCTGAAGAACGAAGCGTAAAATATGGGGTATGCCGGACAGGAAATGGGATCAAAGTGATCAATTAGGATGCAATATTCCGAAAGAAAATATTGCCAAGCCCCCGACGCTTGTCAGATTGCCCTAGCTCGTTTCAGGCCATACATCCGGGTCCAACGGGGAAGGATAAAATTGCCGGGATAATCTCGACTGGGTTAAGATTGGGGGACTATACCACTAGGCCCCTTGTCCGGCCTACCGGAACTTGAGTAAGAATTGTTGGGATAAAAAACCCACTAAATAGGAGATGATCAACAGCATTAAGAGGAGTTCGCATAAAATCCTTGATGATCGAAAGGCTTGACTAACTGCTAATACTGTCGTGCCGTTCCAATGTATACAGGTATATAGATAGTTTTTCTTCCCTAGACCTCCGTAGGCTATAATCTCCCCGCAGCAATTTCCCCATGAAATAACCGGATGTGCGCTAGTTGCATGAAATCAGCCCATGCAATCTTTAGCGTGTACTCCGGAAAGTACAAGCGCTCACCATGCAGGCAAAACCAACGTGGCTTGATTAGTCGGAGCAGACTCCGGCTTCTGGCTTCTTCAAGATGAACAAGGTAACGCCACCTGCACCAGCTGGGCTTGGGAACATGGGATATGCCGTGCAGGACTTATTAGCGGAATTTTTAGTGCTGACACCGGAGTCTATGGGCATCGGTTATTCACGGGAACCGGATAAAATCATTCTTAGTCTTGATCCGATGAATTTGAATGAATTTAGTTGAAAGCTGACCCTGATAGGGAGTAGGACATTCAATGAGAATCTAATTATACCTCAGTGGACATTGTTCGGGAAAGAAAATAGACCTTTCGAGTAGGCGGATAGATGAGACCATACGGAGGATAAGCTGATGATATTTTGAAATGTGGACGGTGTCTATTGTCAAAACTTAAGATGAAAGAAAGTAAGACCGGAAATGTGTACTATATGGTAATCATGTATCATAGGATCAAAGACAAAGAATAGAGCATAAACATGAATACAGACTTCGATTGCAAGTGAAATGAAAATCTCCTAAGTCCATAAAGAAAGTGAAAAAGATCAATATAATTGAGACAACTTGATCCAACCCGTCCCAAGCGTATCACCTCCACCTTCCCCCATTGTCCAACTTGCCACTCAGCTAGCAAGGTTGCTTATCTACAGACACTGCGAGTAGTATTCATTCGACTTCTTGCAAGTGTATGGGCTGGCACAGGTGGTTGGACCGGTCCAGTTAACCCCACCACACTGCGCATACTGAGGAGCGCCGGTGGTGCTTGCTCCAGTCGTAGTGGTAGTAGTGGTGGTGGTCTTGGTAGTGGTGGTGGCTTGAGTTGTGGTAGTGGCCTTGGTGGTGGTAGTGGCCTTGGTGGTGGTAGTGCCGGAGCCTGGGTTGGTCGAGTCGAAAGTCGAACCGATGGGACCGACCTTGATGTTGGAGTATACAACGTAGGCGTTCGGGTGGTTAGCTTCAACATCCGCCGGGTCGCCAGAGGAAATGTCGCAGCTACCACGAGCAGCACCGGGGGTAGTGGAAGAGGCACTGGTCGGGTAGGTGCTATCGAGCCACAGCATGTTGGCCGAGTGGTCGTCCCAGAGACTCATCACCAGAACCATGCCGTCGGCAAGACCGGCTCCCATGCCGGCCATGCCGCCATGCTTAGTGAATACGTCCGTGTCCTTGAATGCGGACTTCTGAGCATTGCAGAAGGAGTCGGTGATAGAGTTGCCAGTGACACCGCTGACTTTCGACACAGACTGGGGGATAACCTTTCCATTCTGCACGTAGAAGCGCTTGATTTCCGAGAGGGTACCGGTGGAGGTACCGTCATCAGTGATGAACTGAGTGACCACAGTGAAGGGGGAGGCGGTATCAACGATCTTGTTCGGGCCATAGAAAGACTGGTCACCCATGCGGTAGGGGTTGAAATCACACCCATCAGGGTCACAAGTACCGCCATAGCGATCACTGCTGTATGTGCCGCCACAAGAAGTTCCAGTGCACCTAGTCTGGGCTGGATCATCACAGGGATGGGGCGTGAATGCAGTGGAGATTGAGTTGGCCTCCCAAATATCCATCTCGGCACAGCAAGAGCCGTAATTACCAACACCAGCGTTGGCATCGTTGGAAGACGGCACCCACCCTTCGACGTTAGCTTGCCCGTTGATGAACTTGAGATCACGAGGGCATTGGGCATCACAGTAACCAGTACCGTACTTGGCGCCGGCTTTGTTGGCAGGGTACCGTGCCATGCCACCATCTTCGTCCATGGAAACGAAGTAGAGCGCGCCGTTCAAGCCGCAGGGAAGGTTCGAGACATCGACATCAAAGGTGAACTCCTGATTGAGCAGATGGAACATCTCGTACTTGTCATCATCCGCCATCAGGTAGAGACGTGAGCCGATGTTCTTCTGAGACGCCTCGGTGACGAAGTTCAGCCGCAAAGAGCTGCCGCTGGCCGTAACACCATAAGTGCCCGGGTAGTCGGCACCTTCGAGGGCACAGTTCTTGGCACAAGTAACATCGTCTGGGCAGATAGTTGTATCCCATTTATTGCCACTGTAGCAATTGGTGTAGCCGCCGGTGTTGTGAACCCAGCGCCAGTTGGCGTCGACGACGACCTTACCGCTCTGAGGAGCGCAGCTTCCTCCAGCAGTGCACTTTTGCCATGTCAAGGACGGATGGACTTCGGCCTTGTTTGTGCCCACCTGCTGTCCGTGTGCTGCCCCGAGAAAGGCGGCCAACAGCAGGGCATTTTTGTAAATCTTGAAGGAGAGAGCGGAGGCCATGATGTCCAGTGTCGATGTGTACTGGGCTGAGGTCTTGATGAATGATGAGAAATTCGCACACGGGTATAGGGTCCTTTTATATTCCAATGGGATAGATCATTCAAATTGAGCTTCATCTCACGGCTCTACGGTCCGTACGACCGTAAAATGAGAAGATGTCTTGTTTCCCAATGGAGAAGTGCAACAAAATACTCCGGGGACACGGAGGGCGTTCCCTAAGCCCCGCGACGGGCCTCAGAAGTAGATGGAGTGATTTTGTGGAGGAGGCGCCTTGGGTCTTGGTGGCACACCGAGATGGCTGTGAAGATTCCATCGCTTGAGGGAAATAGTGTATTCTGCCCCCCCCAAACTAGGCACCAAGAATGGAACTGGATCGAATTGAGATGCATTGGCGGCTAAATGGCCAGCCTCCAAATTAGGTAGGGACAACGCCATGTCGTCTGCACCTTGACTTGGGAGAGAAATGAGACATGGCATACCTAGATTGGGAAAATACCTCGGATCCGTGACCAGGTAGTCAGTCCCCGGATTCTGCAGGAAGTAGATCGCGGGGGCAGGCTTCGCCCCAATTCCCGGTAATTTGCGGTGTCTGCACTGGCTGGAAGGTGCAGTGCATTAGCGCGTTCGGGTAATTTAGTTTAATCCCAAGCAGGAGCACAATACCGAGCACAGGCCTGTTGCCAAGTTGTAGTCCCATGACACCGGAGGTGAGATGGATGCATGATTTTAGTGCCGAGTGGCTTTTTTGGTCGCGATAGAGAAACGGTTATAGAATCCGGCGATTTATGACATGAGACTATCGAGTTGAGATTCCTCATCGAATCCAAGTCCAAGTCCCAAATATAATACTTCAAAGACAAAGAAACCAAATGAAAATCAAGTGAAGATCAAGTGAAAGCCGATCTCACTAGGCGGCCGGGGTACGGGGACATATCCAGGGTTGTTTTCACTACTCTGCGGCCTGAATGCCTGAGTTGATGCCTGAATATTGACTGCTTTAAGGCACCAATATCCAGTGTATGATAAATGGTGCCGGCACGGAATAACTAACTCCCATGGCCTAAACATGAAGCTCTCCCTATCCAAAGGGGGATCTCTCCATTTTCTTGTAGGTTTACAAGTGTCAAAACTGAAGCTTTCGATCTTTTGCCAATGGAAATATTTCGATTTTCTTAGACGGTCTATCTCTGCGTTTGTATGGGGTCTCAAGCTTCCTTTTACTATAGGAACTAAGAAACTTTGTTGATGAAGGTCAAGGTAATTCAGGTACCCTCATTTTCCCGCCAGGCCTGGATCCGGTGAAAACGACCCCGTCGTACCGGGGTACTTGGGTACCTGCGTGGCTGCGACCTCAAGTAATGCCGGATGAGTCATCGCCGAAACCGGCAAGTGGGATTCACAAAAAAAAAGAATCGCAATTTCACTATATCCTCTTAGACATTTGAAGGAATATTGGCGGATTCAACACCGTCCTTTCATTTAACATGGCTTCCAGCTTCATTTTGATCCTTTCTGGCCCCGACCGTCCCGGTATTGTCCATGCGGTCACTGCATTCCTCGTGCAAAACAACCTCAACATTATCGATTCGTCGCAATTCGGAGATCCTGCCTCAGAGCGCTTTTTTATGCGCACACAATTTGCGGTTGCAGGGGGGAAATGAAACCCCCGAACTCGAGAAATTGCGCTCTGCGTTTGAGCCCACTGCCCAGTCATTCTCCCTCAACTTCGAGATCAACCCCACGGCGAAAAAGCCGCGCGTGCTGATCATGGTCTCCAAGATTGGCCACTGCCTCAATGACCTGCTCTTCCGCCAATCCACTGGCCAGTTGAGCATTGAGGTTCCTCTGATCGTTTCCAACCACCCGGATTTCGCTACTCTCGCGGCCACCTATAATATTCCATTCCACCACCTCCCGGTCACCGCGGAAACCAAGGCCCAGCAGGAAGCTCAGATTTTAGAATTGGTGGGCCAACATAACATTGATTTGATTGTGTTGGCTCGTTATATGCAGGTGTTGTCCCCAACCCTGTGTTCCGCCATGTCCGGCCGCATCATCAACATCCACCACAGCTTCTTGCCCTCTTTCAAGGGTGCTAAGCCTTACCACCAGGCCTACGATCGCGGAGTGAAGATCATTGGCGCCACCGCCCATTTTGTCACCAGTGATCTAGACGAAGGCCCGATCATCGAACAGAACGTCGTTCGGGTCAACCACGGCATGAGCCCGAAGGAGCTGACTCATGCCGGTAGCAACGTGGAGAGCAATGTGCTTGCCACTGCTGTCAAGTACGTGACAGAGCGACGGGTGATCTTGAATGGTCACAAGACTGTTGTCTTCAACTAAGCCATTGACTCCTTACCAATTTCGTGATTTATATTGCCATTTGCACCTCTGGCTGTCATGCAATCATCTCCAACTCTTTTTGGGATACCCCAATCATCATTATTAGAACCTAGGATTATCAAGAGCAGAAAATTAAAACCAAATTAGATTTCGCACTCAAATGTACATATCTAGTCCGAAATGCAATGACTTTCAGTGCACTTGATAGCCTAAATCGTCTTAGTTGGCATGACTTCAAGGTTATATTGGCGTTTTCTGTTATTCAAATTTCTAGTTTGATCTTTTTCTTTGTTAATTTTCATCGTTCATCGTTTGTGATTCCGAGCCTCGCATGCAAAAGCACTTAGGCGGGTTCGTATTTAGCGGGGAAGACAAAACTCACCATCCGCACTGCTCATAGAATGATTCCATTTCCTGTCCATATCTCCCACCAAGATGACCTATACTGTTGCTCCACATCTCGAGTATTTCACCATTCCTCTCAGGGAATTTGTGACCGCCCGACCTGAATTTGAAGGCTTTGGTGTTGGCGCCTACATTTTCTCTCATGCCGATCCCACCCCGCGCATCCTTCTTCTCCAGCGTGCACTGACAGACTCGATGCCCGGGTGTTGGGAGGGCCCCGGAGGCGCATGCGAACTGGAAACTGATGGAACACTACTCGATTCCCTGGTGCGTGAAACGCTTGAAGAAAGTGGATTGCATGTGTCTCATATTAGTGACCTCGTCGCGGTGAATTGCTGGGAGCATCATCGCCGTTGTGGTGGAAAAATTCGGATCGCCAAGTACTCGTTCATTGTCGAGACTCAAGAGACCTCGCGACGGTCGGCAGAAAAACAGCAACTGGTGCCAACCGTACAAATACCTGTTCGATTGGAGCGATTGGAGCACCAGCAATTTGACTGGGCGATCAAAGAGGACGTCCTGCTGTCTATCCAATCCCCAAACCATCGATACAGATTCCCATTACCCTTGATTGGCCATCAGGCGCCTAATATTCTCCGGGCTTTTGAATTGGTTGAACAACGACAGAGCAATGAACGGTTCGTGGATCTCGCACAGTGAGGCCTCCAAACCATGTTGATGATATAAAAACCTCAGCACGTTGCTCTTTTCTTTTCTTTTCGTTTTTTTCAGCGCTGAAGACATTTTGTAATCAAAAAGTCATATTCTTGTCTCCCACATGTCTTCCTCGCCTTGGGTTGCGTTTCATTTCTTACCAAAGAGCATCAAACAAAACATGAGCATGTGTACCACCTGCACAAGCCAAACCTAACATGTCGCAAATGAAGAGATGAAGGATTAGTGTCATACGAAGAGAAGGCAGGCATCTCGTGACAGACATGATTGCACAAACGAAGAGACAGAACCATCCTCGATAGGACCTGGGAAGAACGGGGACGCCAGAGTTGCTAATGCCCAATAAATCGTACAGCAAATGGGCCTTGGCCCAATTGGCCATTTGTAGATCTTTTCGTGCACGTCCACAAACCCCGTGTTCTAGATGCTTTGTGAGATGTCGAAAACGATATCGTAAGAACGACCAGTGCGCTCACCGCACGTTTGTAAAAGTAGAACCTAAGAGGACAAAGCTGGAAGACTCCCATCGTCACTTGTGATAAAAGGGCCGGGCTTGATCTGCTCGACCCACCCACAAGGGGCACGTTCTGGACTGAGATGGGGATATTTAACCAGCCTCATAGGCCTGAAACTGTTGCTCATCAGATGGAACACCGTAAGAAAGGAGGAGTTTATAGGTGTGCGAAATTTCAACCACATGCAAAGATTCTTTGCTCAAAAACGATTGATATCTATTTCTGTTAGATATCACTAAGTCCCAATGTATGAGTGTATGGCGCTTTTGGCTCCCCTCACTATGTATCAGACCGCAATATATTGATGATCTTATCCAGGTAGTCTCCCTTATGAGCCATACGAAATGAGTACAAGATATTCAACAATCGCTTGCCAACTCACGAGGGCCAATCGTTGGGGCTATAAGCGCACTTAGTAGCGTATAGGTCTAGATCAACACGATACCATCTACACTTTTTCATTATGTATCAACAAACATAACTGCGGACTAGTTAAGAACAACAGTGCATGGGCCTATATCGCCGGTTGGGTGAAGAAACCATAACCTTTCGACGCCTTCCCTGGTTACGGAGTACGCAGGGTTTAGTATGTACTATGTATTCTCTCGATGAGATGTGCATAGTATATGTGCAAATATCTAGATTCGAGATACTTGTGTACCCTTGTATGATATAAGCAGATAGATGACACTCGAATTGAGATACCTCACTTTAAAGCCCTTTGCACCATTTGATGGATATGTAACCAATTTTCTAGACTCTAACTGTAGGCCGAGCTACATGAACACTTGAAAAAACGATAGTTGCGACTCGACCAACTCCTCGCAATAGCGCTAAGGGCCGGCCGACATGGGTCACAACGCAACAGACGAGCTGTGCTGTTCTCCCGAGGCCCAGTTGCCATGGGGCAAAGAATAGACTCCGTCAGGAAAGCAACATTCAAATTTCATAAATGCGATCCGTAGCATCTGCACATCAAAGTCCGTTCAACAGCAGTACTCGGTTCAAGCGGTGTATCTTCTCTATCACTACAGTGAAACCATGTAACGTCTGTATAACCCCTGAGAGGTGAGATTTAAGACCCTTTGGCCCTTTCAAGACTGCTACAAATCTGTAATATATCGAATATAAATTAAGGCTTAAGATAATCCGATAACTTTCGACCAATTAGTTCGAGCTTTAGAACAGATTCGGGGAATACTTATAGTCGTTCCAGAAGGTGAGTATGCTTGAGTCTAGTTGCGCCACCTGCTTTAAGCAGAATTGGTAACCTCTCGATATCGAGTTTCAGACACCTCATATTACACACAGAATGTTTAACAAAGCCTGGAGTACATCTTAACCTTTCTTCGCACCGATCATACGAAGAAACGGGGGGCTGATGTGCCGACCGGTGTCCTTGCGATTTGCCACCAGCCAACTATGTTGGGAAACCTAGTAATATCTGAGAATGATTCTCTCACGAAATAACAATCATTGCAAAAGTCGTTTCTTGTGACTGCGTGGCTAGGACCACTCAATTCCGCTGAGCGTGAAAGATCAATCCACTATGTTCTGATAAAAAGGCGGAGGACCGCCGAGGGATGACTATGAGTGGAAATATAATAGCGATGCATGATTTAACCCACGAGGGATTGAATTCCAGGCAATATAATTTGTGTTCGTCTTCATTGGGTACTTACTTCTGAGGTGCCTTGGGGAGTAGGTTTGCTTGCTTGAAGAGGCGCCGTGATTGAAGACTAATTGTGAGTTTTCAGGGAATGAAAAGCGCCTATAATATGCTAGTTCGCCCGTATCACAGGACTATGACTCAGATATCCATCTTTTGATCCCCGCTTCGCAATTTCAAACATGCCCGCAGTAGGTCACACCCATGAATCAGTTGGGCTGAATCTGCTAATATAAGAAAGAAACTTGGTAGCGTAGCTGGACCATTTGTGCCAGATGATGTCACCCTGAATTTCATTCATAAACGCAGATTTGCTCATTACAAATCCTATAAGGTGTACTTCCAGCCTGATACCGATGCGAAGTATGCCGCAGTTCATGAGATTTACCTTATAAACTTGGGGTTTTTCATCGCACGCCATCCTAAGCCGGGTGATGTGGTTCCAGTCGCCGAAGAGGGAATGCAGCTGAATGGGTGCTTTCTTGGGGCTTGCACTACCACAGAGGAAGATCTAACCTCGGTGCTCCAGTAATGGAACAAGCAACAAAAAGACAGTTCAATCCAACCGTGAAGGGGAAAAGAAAGATCGGCCCCGGCTCAATGCCAAAACTATATCGCTTAGGCGAGCAGGGGCTATGCGATATCTACACAGCTGTAGGCTTTGAAATCGGCACCCCGGTTGCAGTTATTGTGTCGGCATACCAGCCGATCAGGCCGTGGCAGGGGAGGTCTGGATTTCTTCTCAGAATCGAAATCTCGAAACCAGATGGGCAAAGGTAGCAAGATCCCTTGACTGTCATGAAATCATTGATTGACACAGCCTGATTTAGGGTCAATCGGTCATCTCGCATCTGCAGCTAATGCTGCAACGTCATCCTTTGAGACAAAACTAGTCGATCTCAGTGATCTACTTTCTGCCATCGACTTACGCCGATGGGACCGCCTTAGGATTGGCCTCGCGATGAGCCAGATTATCTTGATTCCGGTGCCGACACTGAGGTAAGGACTACTCCGAGAATTCATGAATATCTGACTGGTGGAAACATTGCCTATTAAGGGAAGCATAAAGCAGCCATAGATTCGTCCTCTATCCATGTGTCCGACAGATCGATAGGATTTGAGGATCTAGGTCTTCAGTCAGTCGCAAAGCTTTGATCAGACCACCGAATATTCAAAGTCACTCCGAATACAGGTGACGATCCCTCTGAGACTATGGGCAGGAACAGGGAGAGCGTTGCGATTGACCATGTCAAAACAGATGGCTGCTATCCATAGTATGACCAATCCAGACGCATAGCTACGACTCCTACCAAGACAGCCCGTCCACTATTGTTAAGGGTCAAATTACTCATGTATTGTACCAGAGAAATTTGGATATATTGATGCGTGCTCAAAATTTTGAAGAATAAGCGAACGGATTCCTGTGTTAGCGCACTAAGTATGAAATATCAATAGCAACCAATGGACGAGGAGCCCGTAACTCAAAATGTTACAGATATAGGTAAGAAATTTACATTGACGACGCTCTGGAGTGCTCAAAGGAACAATATGCCTTATACTATGAGTCAGAGCAATGTATGAAATGCGTCAGCACTTTCTTGTTTCTCAGAAATTTAGAATGCATTTGGGGACGAAAAGAAAAAGCATACAAACTACTACTCATATTTCGCATCAGACTTTGTGAGCCCTTGCCAGAAAGGTCTCTAACCCGCACCTCAACTGTTGTACGCGTAACGAATTTGGAGGTCCAGAATCGACACAACGCGTGGAATGATTATCTCGCCTGTTCATTTTTCTCTTGCCTGTGTAATCTTATCTTTCATCTCAAATACCTCATCTGCGCAGGTAAGAGTTTTAGAGGCCAGTAAAGCAGCGGAATGGAAGGCCGAGGCACCGGTAGTCATATGGAGCAAGCCTATGTTTGATGCCCTCACACCACCTCCAACGATGATTTCTGGAAATTTGTGGGTGTGAAGTTCCCTGTGGTCTTCAAGTTTCGCTTGATAGCGTACTAGAGTTTGCAATTTGTCGATGCACTCTGCTGCTTTTGTTCCTGAGGGACCACCATTTGTTAAAATGGATGCAAAACCACACTCTCTGATATCGGCCAATGCGGTCTCCCAGTGGGACTCAGGAATGAGATCAAAGGCGCGATGAAATGTGCAAGGTCGCCCCTCAGCTAGTTGTACAAGCTGCTTATTACGGGATACATCAACCCATGAGGTATTGGGGCCATATTTTTGTGGGGATTCAGTCAGAATTCCAAAGACGAAACCGTCAGCCCCGAGGGATTTGAGAGAATTGAGCGTCTCTTTCATCACCTCAAAATCGAGGTCCTTGTAACAAAAGCCATCTGCGTGTGGTCGAACCATTGCATATATTGGTATTGTGATCTGTGATCTCAAATTTTGGAGAACCTCTGGTTTGGGCGATAGTCCACCGAGATAATAATCCTTGCATAACCTTGGGCAAGATTAGTCAAAAGACGAAAGGATGTTTCAAACCCCAAAAGAGAAGTATTCAAACATAAACTGCTCCTGGAACGTCGATAGAATGGCCAGGGGGTCTTGAGCATAAAACTCACTCGACACGGTCTGCTCCGGCTCTCGCAGCAACCACAGCTGATTCTTGATTGAAACACGCAACTTCAAGAATTGGTGCCTTTGCGCCAACGTACGGACTCATGGCTTATATTGGCTGGTTTGTATTTACATACGTAGCTTGTGTGGAGTACGAGGACACGTACTCCGTATAGGGAGTGGTTTTGCAGTGCGACAGGGTCACATGATGATCCTAGAAGCCCAAATACCAAAGTACGTACAAAGTATTCCGTGATTTGCTCTCAATTGAAAAGTTGTTGACATTGCTTATATCAGATTTCATGTGAATGAGATGTTCATTCAACTAGGAAGTGCATTACATATACATATATATCTATATCTATATATCTCCACACGTTATTCTCGTCCTCCCTTGACACTTATTAATGACTAGGCGCAACGTTACCCTTTCCCGATCTTGTCTTGGAAGCGGGGAAACCGACGAGATTGCTGACAGAAACAAAAGCTCACAATACTCTACCTAGGTATCTTTCTATCTTATTTGAACTTGATCTTCTCACAATCTTTCCCTCTTTGATAATGTCTCGACCAATTATCGCAATTGCAGGACTTGCTTGCGAGACTTCGACCTTTTCCCCCGCTCGGACACTTGGTGGGGCATTTCATCCACGCCGAGGCACGGAGGTGGTCGAGGAATACCCTTTTTTACATCGCGGCACTTATCTAGCAGAGGTTGTAGATTGGAAGGGGGCGCTTATCGGCCATGCTCTTCCAGGGGGAATGGTTGTAAGGGCTGACTTTGAACAACTTTCTAGGGAAATCCTAGAGCGGCTGGCTGCAATCGTTGCCTCAACCCCCATTGATGGATTATGGTACGATATCCACGGGGCAATGTGTGTGGAGGATATGGAAGATGTCGAAGCAGACCTTCTCCGGCGGATCAGGACTGTTATTGGCCCAGATGTTCTGGTCTCCGCATCCATGGATCTGCATGGAAATGTGTCCAGAGAGCTGGCCCACCAGACTGATCTGATCACTTGCTATCGTATGGCGCCTCACGAGGATGAATTGGAAACAAAGGAACGGGCGTGTCGCAACCTTGTCCATGTTCTGATGTCACGGACTGACACTGGACGAAAGAATAGACCCTTGAAATCATGGGTCCCAGTTCCTATCTTGCTGCCGGGGGAGCAGACCTCAACTCGCAACGAGCCAGCAAAAAGCCTGTATTCCCTGATTCCACAAATTGAATCAATGAATGATGTGTTAGATGTGGCTATTTGGGTTGGCTATGCATGGGCAGATGAGCCACGAAATCATGCTGTGGTAATGGTGACCGGGTGGAATAAGGTTGCCGTCATTGCAGGAGCAAAGCGACTTGCATCTTTCTTCTGGGGTGTTCACCGGGACTTCCATTTTGTTGCACCGATTGGGTCGTTCTCCGAATGCATTGACCGCGCATTGGACTCCTCAGCCAGGCCGTTCTTTATATCTGATTCGGGAGATAATCCTACCGCTGGTGGATCAGGGGATGTGACATTTGCCCTTATACAATTGCTGGAGCGCACGGAATTTCGAAAAGATACCAACCCAACTGTGATTTATGCCAGCATTCCAGGCCCCAAGGCAATTGATGTTATCATAAAGGCAGGTGTCGGTACCACGGTGACGGTCACCACCGGTGCGCAAGTTGACAATCTGCACGCTAGCCCTATTACTATGACTGGACGCATTCATTCCATTAAGTATGGAGATCCTGACGCTGAGGTCGAAGCAGTTCTACAGGTTGGAAGCGTATTTACCATCCTGACCAAACTCCGGAAGCCGTATCACCATGAGAGTGATTTCATTAATCTAAATCTCAGTCCGCGAGAGGCGCATATCGTCATAGTCAAGATCGGCTACCTCGAGCCAGAGCTCTTTGGTATGGCGGCAGACTGGATGCTTGCTTTGACACCTGGCGGTGTCGATCAAGATTTGCTACGTCTTGGACACCACCGTATCCGGCGTCCACTATGGCCCTTTGATAAAACGTTTCAGACAGCCCCCGATCTTTCCCCACAGTTGATTCCATTCTCGAATGAAGATTTAGATATGAATTAGGAATGTATTTGGCCCTTGAGATTGTTGGGATCCTCAAGGTTATTCCCTAATATGGCCGACAATATCATTGTTTCCCTCGCTCCCTTGGCCTGAGACACCACCAAAATTCTCGCTCGGTACGGCGCGGTTGGTCTCGGTGTCTAGTGGGGTTTCTATAGTTATGTAGGCCAATCAAAGGTTATTTAGTGACGAATGTCAGTGCCTCCTAAACCGCTAAACAAAAAGCCGCATAAATGTGACTCACTCAGATTCTGATTGGTATTTAAGAATAAAGGGCGACGTAACAACATGCTCGCTTATTGAAAAGGGAACTGCTTCTTGTCCATAATTTGGAAGTTTCGTGTACCTGGTAATGTTATCTTGGGTTATCGCTTTCGCTTTATTAACATCATATTCAATTAGGG